ACGTTGGATAGCGCTATCCAACGTTTGAACAACCGGGGCCAGACCTCTAAAATCCAAACCCGTTTTCAGGCCTGGCCTTTAGGCAGAAATTATGTCATCATTTCGTAGATTATAGCGCAAACAAAAAATTTCGTCAATTGCATTTCGAATCGCATATTTCTACTTCATTCTCATTCATTGGGAATTGAAAGGATAAATACGTTCATACACTCCCGTAGTTTCCTCGAAAACCATACCCGATTCCGGACCAAAATAGGCAAAGTGTATACCCTTTTTCAGACCAAAAAAGGAGGTTTAGGGTAAGACATACGATGAGACCGATGAGGCAAGTAGTAACGGCTGCTGCACACAGCCGAGATAAAGAAAAATATTTTTACATATCCTTTGCGATCAGGGAAAAGTCGGGTGACCGGAAAGAGGTTTTGTGCACGTGGTTTTAGTACGCCTACTTCGGTTTGGTTTTGCTACGATATTTTATGGTTCTCCAATAGTTTTGTGCCTTGTATTTCTGTAGATTAATATTATCCTAATATTCATTAAAAAATAAATCTTTTGTCAAAAAGAAACTGGTTTCCGCTATGACGAAAACACAGTCAAAGAAGCCGCTCCCTTCCCCTGGTGTTACAAACTTTTCACCACCGGACAGGCCCGGACTTGTATTGGAATGCCGAAGTAATGTAGTTTCTAACAATCAATTCTATTGGTGGATACTAGTGGAAGCCAATTGAGTAGCCAATCAAATTGTGCGTTATTTTTGAAGTCCATAAGTTGCATCACAAGTTTTTCTTCTGCCAAATACTCTTCGCTGGGTTAGTGACTTTCTAGTTTTAAGAGATGTTTTCTTAGCAGATGCGATGAGATTAAGTGTTTTCGTGGCCCTTTTGGTGAGTACGTGTTTCTCTTGGACAAGATAGGTGAATGTTTGTGCTGTTAGTTAAAGATATCAAACCTCAATCGAAAGAACTGCGTCGTCTGACACACATGGACTTAAGACACCCACTAGGCTACTAGAAAATCTAATTTATGCTGTCTCCACAATCATCTGTAATAGGGATTTTTCACCTCTGCTTCAAATATGTCGTCTGTACTGTCAAAACTGAAGTTGTAGTGTCGTGTTTGATGGTAAACTCGAATGCAAGTGTTGTCCTTAGTGCAAATGTGCTTCGTTTGCTCTTTTGAACAGGCCCCACAGCGTGGTTAAATTTGTGGCATTTTTTTCTCATAATGTGCGGCAAAAATGTTGACATCCCAAGCTTACTTCAATACAGAAGCAAACATTTTTCTATTGGCGAAACATTTTATTTTTGTATCTTAATTTATTGTTACCAAGGATAGTATCGGTAGCTAACGATCATTAACCTAACCACGCTTCACTTGACTTTTGACAAGGCTACATACACCAAGGAAGCCTCCACCTTTTTCGACTTAATCAAACCTCAGCTCATACACCACTGAGCTAAAGTTAGCTGGGTCGATTTGTAAACCTTTTATTCAATTCAAACTTTAACTTCTAAGAATTGACAATTACTTTTAAGACCAATATTTGGTTTGCATTTAGCTATTTTTAAACCTTTTTTGTTTATATTTGTTTATTAATAACTCCCTTGAGGAATTCAAATTATTTCTCAATGAAAGTGTTTATAATTCAGGTCATTTAGCACCATGGAGCTCTTGTAACCACAGAGTTGATGGCAGTGAAAAGGTTACTTATTAAGCGAAATTGAGTTCTTCTTACAACACCACTTATATTTTTCCAACTACTTTTTTTGCTAAATTTTGGTGAATTTTCATGAGTTTGAATTTACATGAAATTGAAGGTCATGCACCCGAAGATCAAAAACAAATCCACACTTCCAATATGTGAATAAACCATACCAGATCAAATATGTATCAGTCTACGTGAAGAGCTTGATGCATAATCAGGCCCAAATTAGCCGCGAGATGGGCATAGCAGCACGATGGGTGATTTAATATTTTCGCATGTGACACGTGATTTTCTTATGAAAATTCTGTGATGGTTGTAACCTTTCAGTTGCTCAGAACTTCTGAAAGAAAGTAATATTGGAGTGCCTCATTTTGTATTAACAGAGACAATATATTTCTTTGCATTCTTTTTCAGTGTTTTGCGGCATGTGGCCTAGTGTGTGGACTGAGTTGTCCTACAGGACAGTTTCGTTCATCAGTTCCTGGACGTTGCTGCAATCTTTGTCCTGCAGGCCACTTTATGAGCAGAGAATGCCAGACGTCAGCTAATGACACGCAGTGCTCACCTTGCCGTTTAGGCACATACAATGCCAAAGAAAATAAAGATACGGCATGTCGTAACTGTAGAACATTTTGTCGAGATCAGAAGGAAACAATAGTGAAAAATTGCTCTTTAGTTAGTGATATTCAATGCAAGTGTTCAGATAACTATTATCGAGATCCACATTCACTTCAATGCAGAAAATGCACATCGTGTATGAAAAAGGGCCACGTGTTGGTATCTCGTTGTGAAGAAAACAAGGATGCAGTATGTAAGGCTTGTGGCAAGGTAAGACAATAGCTGTAGGCTGCTTTTATGTGATAAGATTCATGTTGGTAATCCTCTATTTTCACTGTCGTGCCATCAAAAATAAAAGTGCAGACCATTTAATACAGAAAGTCCAGAACGTGGGAAATGAAGGAAGATAAATGTACAAAAAGCCTTGCCAAGAGTCTTTGCGATATGTCGTATGCAAGATATTAGGAAAAAAGGTTTCACCAAAATTTATATAGCTTTGTATGACATTGCCACGTTGGTGTCCCTTTGAGGGGCATTAATCTGGCTGCCGGAAACCAACACAAACATCTGTCTAATGTGAGTTTTCCTACAAATGCTTGTATTCATTGCTTGGGGAACTCATGAAGATTAGTGTAATATTTATTCTGAGAGAGGAATGTTTAGGTAACAGAATCTCAAAAAATTGGTAACGTTTTTATACCACATAAGAGCTTTCCTGGTAATTTGCAAAAATAAAAGTGTTTAGGTGGTGTAGTACCTCGTACATGGAAGTAGAAACTCAGAAGAACTAATAGTTTCTTAGTTTGAATTTTGGTGACCTCATTTTGAAAACTGGGAATACATTCAAAGGTTTGAACTCAACTGAGGGATTTCTTGCGCCCCGATTTAAGGTTGTGCTCTCAGAAAAGTTGAAGAGAGCCCAGACCTCTGAACATGTGAAATCCAGGGTGCACAGCAAATGATTTATATGAAGAAAGTAAGATTTTCTAGTCACTTAGGAGCAAAAGTTAGACACCCGGAGCCACTGGGCACTGTTAGTGTACAGCCTTGCGATTGGTCAAGAGCTATATTGGTCGGTAATTATATGATAATTATATTTGGAGACGAGAGAGAAAATTTTGTATCTGGTAGTTCTATTTCTTATGCATAAACACCACTGAAATACCAAACCATTTCACATATATTGTTTTCTTTCTGTGAAAGGTGTGATTTATCTTGTTTTGTAGCCATAGCATGTGCGAAGATAACATGTTATTTTCTCATGTGAAGATATCATGTTGTCCATTTGCAGTTTTTTGTTTTAATTTGTGGTTCTTCTGCAACTGTCTTTATGTTATTATCTTTTCAGGAAAACTTTTTGTTAAATAATCATTGTGTACCATGCGATCGCTGCCGTAAAGGAGAGTTTGTGGTGGAGGAGTGTTCGCCAAAACAAAACACTACTTGTAGGAAACTTCCAACAAGTACACCCCCTTCCTCTTCTCCACATATTAACTCTCAAGAACCAGTTACTGGGACTAAGCCTGTTGAAAGAGGTACTGTACATGCCATGTAATTATTGTTACAAGACAAAATTAAATTCAGGTTAATAGTTTTTAACCTTGGTTGATTCTCGATTTCCTTTGTCTCCTTTAGAAGACAGTCCAAAACGTGTACATTGTCTTGTTGATTATCTTATAATCAAAGAAGAAAGAGAATTTGATCACCCAAACGTACAGAAAAAATTCTGAGCTCACTGATCCACAGTAAAAAAATATTTCCAATGATTGATTCACTGCAACATCAACATGTTGAAAATTTCAACCATTGAATTCTTTACAGAAACGTATGAACACCATCCCTGATAGTAAGTGCAAACCAAGTCTTTACTGTTTTCCTATTAGTCATAGCCAAATAGAGTTTCTAAAACAAAAGAAATAGGCATGTTTGATTGGTTAGAATAATTGAGTACACCAAAGAGAGCCATATGCCACTCTCAGGAATTTGAGGAGACAAAAGGTATGGGACTCTTGGTTGGGAAAAGGTTATTCCAAAAACTACCTGCTGTTCTGTAAACTTGTAGTGTTAGTATTAGGCTTTTACTGCAGATTTGTGCTGCCAGGACTTTGTATAGAAGTGTGAGAGTACTTTTTTCTTAGCATTAATTTGCTTCATGTCCCTTCATTGAAAGTTGTTATAAAAAGGAATTGATGTTCTTACTTAAATTTATATTTTGCAGCTGACCTTAACCCAACACCAGCTGAGATTAAAGCTCAAAAGACGTTTCAGGATGAGATGTGGGTGTATCGTGCTGTCATAATGCTATTAGTGTTGATCATATTAGGCCTGGTTCTTCACCAGAAAATAAACTTATGCCAAACAATTAAAACTAAAGTCACCACCCTGAAGAAATGCTCGGGTCCAAAAGGTGAGGAAGCTTTTACAACTTTGAAGCATTTAAGCTTTTCAAAAATGTAGTGAATAGCATGAGGTTGCCCCTTTGATGTTAACATCTTGTAGTCGTAAAGAAGTTTTTATCTCACTTTAAATAATTGTACGACTGATACTGACACTTTTGTGGCATCTTTATTTCAGAATCATGTGCTGTGTCAGCTGGTACCTCATTGGTTATAAAAGGTAACTGTGATTAAGCTTGATTGTAGTATCAACCAGAGAACTGTCTCCCTTATGATGGGTGCTGCTATTAAAGGGCGTGAAAGTACCTAGGGCTGTCGCTAAGGGTATACCTACTAACTCACGCGCCTTAGGCGTGAGTCTCACGCCTGCGGGTTGAAAACTTCGATCTCACGCCGGCTCACGCCTGCGGGCCAATTTCTCACGCCTGATTGAAAAATGTGAGTTGTTGCCGTCTTGCTTGACACAATTTCCAAAAATATGTTAACTCAGACCCATGTAAGGAATGAAAACCATGTGTAAAATGAATAAATGACAATACCTTCCTCGCAATCTCTGATTTTTGAAGTGAAAAGCACTGGGAGCGAGCTCGCCTTCGGCAGACTTCGGACGTCTTCAGAAGATTTCGGACGTCTTCGGAAGACCTCGGACTTCTTCGGAAGACCTCGGACTTCTTCGGAAGACTTCGGACTTCTTCGGGAATCTTCGGAAATGATCGTGTCGTCTCCAAAAATCCCAGCACTCCCAGGATAAAAATCTCACGCTTATATCTCAGAAAAAGTTGGCAAGTATATAAGGGGGTTGTCCACACCTGGTCTTGACCTCATCATCAGGCACTGTTCCTGAATGTTAGCATTAATACTTGAAAAATGGGTGTGTTCACAGAAGTGCCCAGCGAGTACCATACTCAGGCACCATGCCTGGGTGTCAATGATTTCAAAGTGCCGGTACAGGATTCTTGTTAACTGCTAGCAGTGGTCCAAAAATGGACCTTTTTCAATTTTGAGGCGCTTACTGTGAACAGGGTAATGTGAAGGATTGAGTGCCTGAAACTGCCTTCAGGATTGGAGGGCCAAGTCATTTACTTGTACTTTCTAGTTCATGTGGCAAACATCCTGTATATTGCTAGGACTACTTATGCGCTGTGATGTACTCTAACAAGAGGAAATACATCAGTGATAGCATCTCTTCTTTTTCTTTTTGTCAAATAGAAAATAACTTCAAATTCAGTAAAACCCCAGCAGATGTGACCGAGAGGCTAGCAATGCTCCTAAATGCAAGCAAGGATTGGAAGAGGTTGGCGGGTCTTATGAATTATAGCAGCGTATATACACAAAATTGGGATCTCACACCATGTGAGGCAACCCAAAAGCTGTTGCAGGACTGGTCACAGCGCTCAGATGCCACAGTCTTTACTCTGTACCAGTTCTTGAAGGAGCTCCGTAGGGATGATGCCGCATCGTTGCTTTTGCCATACCTCACTGGTCAGGTTCCCGAGTGTGAGACTGTGTAAGGAGAATTCATGTTTGTCCTCGACCTTCAGCTTCACTCTTGCGATACTTAAAGGGGCTATTTCACAAGGATAATGCTGCCATTTCTGTCCTAAAGTCATTACCAAGTACCTTTACCCATACACAAAATGCTCCTGAAGAGTTCTAAAGAACATATATAACACAAATTTCATGAGGGAGAACTATAAAACCATAATGATTTTGGGAGGGATTTTTGCAGGCTTTAAAAAGGTCGCTCCAACTTTATCAAGTTGCAATCCATGTCCATCCTTGCCATCCGTTGCAACAGAAGACAGGAAACAATTTCAATGCCTGAATATAGTCTTAAAAACAAAACTGGGCCATTATTTGTAAAGTTTAATTGATGCAAAAAACTTTTGGCTTTTTGAAAAGATAGCAAATAGCGTGAAATAGCCCCTTTTAAAATGTAAATTTCTGGGCATGGGTGTTTCTTGTTACTGTGAAAACAAAACTATTTTGGTCAACTGTTCTGCTGTAGTGTGAGGAATTTCCTTTCAGTGCTATTGTAGGGGACCATTAAAGTAGCCTGCAAATACAGCCATCTTTTCTTGCTCCTAGCCATTAGGGAAAGTTCACAGGAGAGACGTCTACCCCACAACATCAGAGACTCCATAATGATGATGTAAAACAATGTTTGCTTGATTAATTTGGTAGTCATGCGGTTTCAATATTTGTGTGTGTTTATACGAGTTGAGTTCTTCTGTGAACCAGCTGCAGCAAAACTCAAATGCTTTTTCTAAAGAACGATGTATTTCACACGGAATAACGACTGTTGATTGAGATTCATAGTGCTTTCATTTGACCTTTGTGACTGTTTGTCTGTTTGTCTTTTGTCGGTCATTTGCAAACAATAACTACTGCGTCAACCAATCAGGGCTCCTTACCAGATTCCAGACAGTTTTTATGTAATGAGAAATTCTGTTCTTGGGTCACAGACATCTCTTTTGCAAAACTTTCCTAGTGCAGTGGCGGATCCAGGGGGAGGGTCAGGGGGTACAAACCCACGTATCAGACCTTACGCTTGTTTGAGACTGAAATTCTTACATCAACAGGATCATCGTAATTTTATATCATTTTTTAACTTTCTGATATTTTTCATGAAATACACATTGCATGTTGCCACTAAACTAAATTCCAGGGATATTCAAAAATGTAATTGATTTTGAGTACCATCCTGTGATATGTTCGCCTATCGCAAAGCAGTATTTCCCGTGCCAATGGCGACTGGCGTTCACAGATTGAGAAACAAGTGGTTGTCTCTGCTTTCTCTGCTGGTCAACAATTATTGCAACAACTCAGCTGATAACATGCAACTGCGACTGGTGGGAGGGGATGTGGTGGAGAAGTAATTGGCCACAAAAAAGTTTAACAGTCCATTCTGAACCAAAGTTTGGACCCCCCCCCTCCCATCAAAAATTCTTGGATCCGCCCCTGTACTGGCAAGGAATCAGGTGAGATGGGTGCATTTGCTGGCTAAGCTATTTGGGGATCAATATGCAACAGCATGAAACTGTCCTTGATTTTGAACCAGTAAGGAATGGTTCTAGGGCACAAATGAGTTACTCACTGGCATGGCAAGTATGAGTGAGATGGTGTTAAAGGTATGAAAGTTATTTTCATGCTGCCCATTCCTTTTCCTACTCTGCCACCAGAGGGCCCCAGGGAGCTTGCTAGCAGGCAAATCATGTATGTATACAAACAATGTAATATAGCTGATAGAAATGATTTTTTTATACATAGTTGTACTTGTCAATTTGCGAGGAATTTTCAGTGGTATTATTATGGTATTTTTCCATTATTGCAAACAAAAAAAATTCAAGGAATATTTTTTTAATGCAAAGTAGGTACATGTAAATAATATTATTATAGTGAAGTTTGTTTCAAAAAGGATTTTAATGTTTCTTTTATAAGGAAAAAGTAACAGTTTATACTTGGACCAGAGTTTCTCTGTGCTTGTGGGTTTTTAAAGAAAAAATTATTTTCCTGAGGTGCGGGATTGGTGATCATAACAATATGAATAATGATTATAATTATTATTTTGTACACGTGATCAAATTCTCTTGCAATTAAGAGACAAGCAGCTTATCAAGGCATGTAAAATATTAATTAAAAGGCTATTTTTTATCATTATTTTTCCACAAAGACAACAGAGTTTATTTTTTACTCTTGAGAAAAGTGATTGTCAAGACTTCACCTCAAAATGTTATGTCTACCTATTTCCTTGATTAATCACTCAAGGAGGTTTATTTTTTCATTGCTTCAAAAAATAGGTTAAGTGTTGATTATGGAGGAGAATGTATAGTATGTCAAAAAAATGTTTGGACAGCATTGCAACTTGTGGTACTAGGTGTGTTTTTATATATCCTGAAGTATTTACAAATTGCCGTTATAGGACCTTTTTCTCATTTTTAGCCAGGTTATGTTCAGAAAAGTTGCTTGGCTGTGAGTAGTTCTTCTGGCTCACCATGCTTGTAGACTTTCTTCCCTTAAGGAAAGTGGAAAAAGCCTATTCGCAGTCAAGAAAGTTGTTTAAGTTGTTAAGTATAGACAGAAGAAAACAAAGCAAAATATTGTCAAGTTAGCATGATGTTTATTTGACAAATCACTCCATTGAAAAACAAATTTAAGTTATGTCGCAACTTAGTCTTAATTTATTCATGGCACAATAACGGGGCTATGTCACAAGGGTGTTGCTGTTTGGGGGTCATTTCTGTGCTAAAGTTAGACTGAAAAACGGTATTTTTGCATATTCAAGTATGCTGGAGCAGTCAAACAAAAGGTCTGGAATGAGGCTGAAAACAGAGAGCGAGACAGGGGAGAGATGCTAAAAGTACGCCCAACGGGCGTGTGAGGCTCGCCCTTTGCACGCATAAGACTCTTACGCCACGCTTTACCCATTTCTTTACTGATTTGGAGCAAAAAATGACTGTTTTGCAGTCTATGCTAAAGTCATTAATTACTGCCTTTGCCTCGACACAAAGTGCTCCTGTAGGGTTATGGAGATGATATCAAACAAATTTCATTGGAGAGCACTTAACGTAATAATTTTTGGTGATTTTTGTTGGCATAGCATTAAAACTCAAAATAGTTGGCCCAACTTTTTCAAGTTTCAATCTATGCCCATCCATAGCAATAGGTGACAGGATATCAAACATGAGACGCAGTGTTTCATCACCAGATGAAACACCGAGAAGAGAGTTGAAAAGACGACGCGCAGCGGAGTATTTTTGACGAACTTCGAGGTGTTTCATCTGGTGATGAAACACTGTGTCGAATGTTTGATATTTCTTCTCAAACAAAATCATTTTTGAAGGAGAAATTAAAGATGCAAAAATGAGCAGTTTTTCATCTGATATCCAAACACTCATTAAACATTAATTTCCTTTGAATTTTCTTTATGAATTATTAACGAGTTTGAGAAATTATGTCTCAAATGACAGAAGTATATAGAGAATACTTCATGGAAAGTGCTGGCGTACGGTATTTACGCATGAGTTGTTGACGTATCAGAAATCGAACGAGTGAGCGCAGCGAACGAGTAAGATTTCTGATACAAAAACAACGAGTGGGTAAATACCGTACAAAGCACTTTCCATGTGGTATTGTGTTTATTATAAACATACTGAGACATTCATCATTTTGGCGGCCTTTTTATTTTAAATATTTCAAAAATGCTGAAATTTGCCGCTACACACTTACCGCAAAATGACAACGAAAACGAAGTATCAGCTTTTTAGTAAAAACGTTTGTTAAAAACATAACTGACGGTAAGGATATGAGGTAATCCAAGAACTATAAGGAATCTTAACTGTTTGTTCTCAATGCACAATTGAAAATGTGTGAATTTAAGTAAAATGGCCGGTTTCAATATAAGCTTAAGCTTAAATGAAAGGCAAAGTAGCTCCGATAAAAAGCACAACAAAAGCTTACGTCTCGTTCTGTTTTTCCCTTTCCGCTGTTGTTTCGCCGGCTCTCTACCGTTTTCTTTATCGACAGTGAAACAAACGAAACTATTCCACTCTATTTCCGAAATGTTTTTCACTTTTTTAGCGAGAAAAACTCTTTGAGTAAAACTTTTCCCGTTTAATGTGTGCGAAGCGACGCTGCAAGCTGCAATAAAAGGCGGGAATTTTGGCGCGAAACTCACACACCTCTGTGGCTTCTGATTGGACGTATCATTTTTCTCACACGTGAAAAAACATCGTTCGCGATTCTGATTGGACGTATCATTTTTTTCACGTGTGAAAACCATCGTTCGCTCCTCTGATTGGCTAGAACTAGTTTGCGTACGAAAATTTACGACATAGCTTTTTGGTGAGTATTTCTCAGTATGTATATAATAAAACATTATTTTTGGAATTCAACTGATGCAAAGAAGTTTTCGCTCTTAAAAAACATAGCAAATAGCATGACATAGCCCCTCTAACCATATAACAAGTGGACCATAATAGGCCTTTTGCAGTAGTTGATCACGTGATCAACTTTCGGTAAACACGAAAAACTCTTATGTTGTTTTATGTTATAAAACTCTTCTTGTGAGAAAAACTCTTATTGCCACCCAGTCACACTTGAGTGGTTTTCCGTGCAACTCCTTGTAATTTCTGAATTTTTTAAACTGTTGTTAATCTTTCCTTTACCCATTTAAGGGCTCAAAGTGCCTGTTATGAATTAAAAGGAGATTTGGGCCCCATAATGCTTAAGGAAGAATTTCATAACAGTTTGAAAATTTCAAAATTGACAAGGATTTGTATGGAAAACAATTCAAGCATGACTAGGTGGCAAAAGATGTTTTTCTCATACAAATCCAATCTAATTTTTGGCAGCCATTGCAATCACTTCTTTTGAGATTCTGAGAATTTAAAGATTACCTTATTATAATACCCTCTTAATTCAGCCCGTGCTAACAAAATTTTTCAAAAGTGCACTGTTTTTGTGTTTACCGAAAGTTGATCATGTGATTAACTAATGCAAAAAGGCCTATTATGTTAAATCCTCAAATTTTTACAAGTTCGCCCACAAGCCTTAAAATGTATGTTGCCTTGTTTCAATTAATCTTATTTGATTCAGTAAATTTTGGTGATTGGGAACGCCATGTAGGTGTAATGAAATTGTACATTCAAATGAATGAGATGATCAGTTTTTGTAAGTGTAGTAATTTTAGATTATTAATGCAGGGATGTTCTTAACCCTTCAGTCGATAATTATATGCTCTAATTTTGTTAGCTTTTTAAAATAAATCCTTTAACCCTTCTTATCCAATAATGATGAGCCTTAATGTTATGTAGTGTTTGATACATTGAAATTCTTATTTTGAAAATGTCAAAATCAGTTGACATGATGTGAGAATTTTATACTTAGAAAATCTCGTTTAGGATACTCTCCTATGGTTTTTGTGCATGTCACATTTTACACAGGGTTCGTACAGAGTCTTGATTTCTTGAAAAAGTCTTGAGATTTGCCCTTGAAAAAGTCTGGAAAATAGAGATCAAGTCTGGACAAATGGTAAAAAGTCTTGAGTTTTTTCAAAGTTACACCAAGTGCTTTGTATGTGTTTTTCAACCTTGCCTGTACGTTTGCTGTGCATCATAAAAAAAGCCTTGTGCTTGTGTTTTTTAAGGCCTCTCTCGATCACCTACTTGATGACCCTGAGTCTGGAAAAAGAAATTATTGTTTTGGAAAAGGTCTGGGAAAAGTCTTGGGTTTGGAATCCAAAAATCTGTACAAACCCTGCACATTTAAAGGATTTTGTGAAGCTTGGACTCTACCTAGCAAATACAACAGAAGGCTAATTTCAGTATTGAATATTTAAGGGTTAATTGGAATAATATTATTTTAGCAGATTATAATGAATGTTTCTGCATTTAACCTAATAAATTAACTGCCGGTCAGGCTTTTAGGGACTAGCATTAATCAATAGTTGTTAGATTACAGCATATTTTCAAAAAAAAAAAACTAGTTATTTTACATCTTGCACCCCTTGCGGATTCCCTTGAAAATGGGAAATTATAACAAAACCAGTGAATGTAGCTTGTGGCAGCAGTATATTATTTAATTAGATGGAGGAATATTTAAGCGATGAAGTTTATGGAGTGTTGCCAATTAAACCATTTAGCAAATTATTGGTTAATGTTACGTAACTAACTGGCAAAGTCAGTTTTAGTTAGAGTTGCATCCTAAGCAGTTTATTGAGCCAATAGTTATTCTGCCAATTTGTTATACATTGGAAAACTGTATTTAATAAAAAAAATGACTGAAATTAAAGGTCAGATTCTTTTTGGCAAGTGCTTGCTTGACTTGTCTCAGTCGAGAATAAAAATTTTATCCTCCATAATAATATTCTCCAATATTATTTAATAATATTGGACCCCTGTTGTCTTCATTAATGCGCAGAGTAAAGAAGTTGTTTTAAACAACTGAAGGCAAATAACGACAAAGTTCGAGGTATGATACAAATTTTAATTATTAGAAATTTGCGCCTTCTCTTTCTCTCTATAAAGCATATACTCTTCCAATCTCTCCATTGTCTCAGGCGATCCATGCCTTCTAACGTAGGCCTGTCAGTTCAGAACAAGGAAAAGCAAGATTACAAGAAATGGCTTAAATGCTCTTAACTAGAATTAATGTGCATGTTTTAACCATCAGCATAAGTTGCCGACACCCCCATAAGTGTGTTGTCTATTGTTGTTATTCTGTTGTCCAGTCTGTTTTGTTGTTCCATTGTCCAGTCTACTGCGTTGTTCCGTTGTGTAGTCTATTTTTCGCAGTCTATCGCATTGTCCTGTTGTTCAGTTATTGTCCAGTCTATTGTGTTATTCTGGTGTCCAGTTTATTGTGTTATGTTATTTTCCAGTCTATTAGGGTATACCATTGTCCATTCTACTGCATGATAATGTTATTGTCTAGTCTATGGTGCTGTTCTTTTGTCTGGTTTATTGTGTTATGCTACTGAGCAGTCTCTTGTGTTGTTCAGTTTATTCTACTCTGTATTGTCCAGTTTATTCTACATTGTCTATTGCTTGGTCTATAGAGTGTTTTTACGTGATGTCATGGCGGCCATATTGGTGTCCCAAAACAATGGAACAGCGGCCATGTTGGTGTGCCAAACCAGTCCTGTGGGAGTTGAGTTCCTTTGTTATGCAAACGCTTTCTTTTGTTCCAATAACTTTGCATAGATGCTGGCCACGTGAGTGAAAACACACTATTGTTTTGCTAATGTCCAGTCTGTCGTTCTGTTCAATTCCCCTGTCAACTGTGTTGCTTTCTATTCCCTGGTCTTTTGTTGGATGTGTTGTTTGTTTGTTTGTTTTTTTTCACAGACTGTCCAGTCTATTAATTTCATTCAGTGTTAGAACCATTCATAACTTACCCGCAACATAAACAATCCTTTAAGATTGTTTCTGATTGCTTGTTCCGCTATCTTACTGTAGGGATGCAGAAGATGATGAAGTTTTACCACTTCCACGCAGTCTTCCCAACTGTTAAGAAAAATGTGACCGTTAAATGGCACATCTAGTTCATACTTTAACCAAATTTCAACAAAATGTTAAAAGTCCAAATTCTTTGTAACAGCTTTGCCTGCTGAATTCCAGTAGAGTTTTTATAATGAAAAAAGTACTGAAAGCAAAAACGTGATGAATAATTATTTTATTTATCCTGCTAACAGAGTCTCCTTCGATCTTCCTTGAAGCAACTCTACTAGCAGGGTATATTTCATTAAGTCATTTATAAAAAGTGGACAAATCTTGTGTGATGTGAGTATACGTGATGAAGTAAATATGTGATGATAGACACTATTATATATTTTAAAGCTCACAATTTGCATTATTAAACATATCAAGTCAAGTCCCTTAAAACAATTCCTTACAGGTCTCTCGCCATCATGTCTTCAATTAGTTCCATTATTCTTTGAGCCTTTACAAGGTAATAAACCAGTCCTCCAAAGTGTCTCGTTGATCTCAAAAGATCAAACTTGTTACTGAGTACAATGTCTTCATAAGTCTTCTGATGTACCTGGTGCAAAGAGAGAAATACACCCTAAGATCAAACTTTGAATTCTCATTTGTTGGCCCTATATGTTTTCTATAAAAGTGGTAGTGAGAAGTTCTTGAAGTATCAACTCCTTGTATCCGGTGTGATCATGTCCATAATTCCCATGACCTCTCTGTTTTACAAAGCATTGATATTACAAAAAGAAATTTGATGCTGGTCAATCTTAAGGCTTAATTAGAGGATTAATACAGTTGAACCTTCATGTGCAACCACCTCTCATAATTAAAGACAACCTCCCATAAGCAACCAACAACTATCCACAGTGCCAAAATTATCCCTGTCAAAGCCCTATTATTAGAACCTTTCAAAAACGACCATCTTTCATAATCAAACAAAACCACTTTTTGGCCCGACAGTTTTATAGTTTTACATTGCTTTTAACTTCCACTATAGAGCAACCACTTGACACATGGCTTGGTCTCTTTGCTTTATGTACTATGCCACTGGTAGACAAAGAACTTTCAGTGACAACACACAAGCATATATTGTAAAATTCTGAAAATAAGCCCCTCCATATATAAGCTCCTCCAAATATAAGCCCCCCAAAACGGTAATGCAAAAAACCCTTAAATCGCCCCTCCAAATATAAGCCCCCCCGGGGGCTTGTATTTGGAAAATTGCCCTCAAATACAAAGTTAAACAAAGCAAAAACAGTAAATTTACTTCCAACAATAAGGCTAGCCCAATCGATTTTGAAACACAAATTTTCCTCCGTAGATAAGCCCCTCCATATTATAAGCCCGTCCAAAAATAAGCCCCTCAAAAAGGGCCTTTGAAAAATATACGCCCCGGGGCTTATTTTCAGAATTTTAAGGTAACTTCTAAGAAATTCCACGCAATAAATAATTCTCTGCCAAAAAGAATATGTATGCAGACCTCTTCTCAGAAAAGACCTCCTGTGGTTTCATTCTCTTTCAGGCTAACACTTTCTGTACCGTAAACGATCTAATAAAGGCCCACTTCCAAATAAACGCCTCTTATCCAATAAACACCCCCCTTATGCTGTTAAGTTAGTATTAAACGCCCCTCTCTAATATACGCCTCCTGTCTAATAAACGCCCCCCTTGAAAATTGCCCCCAAATACTAGGAAATGGCAAAATAGAGCAAAATCAATCAATTTATTAATTTCATTGCTTGATTAACATCAGTTTGTGTATTATGTCATGTTCAATTTCTAGATAAGCCGTCAGCCCGCAGAGTCGAGATTCTGTTAACACAAAAACGTTTTTAGCCAAAAGCATACTGTATACAGTTATGTTGAGTTCGTTAAAATAAGTTACAAGAATAAACGCCTCTCTCTTTTAAATGCCTCCCATCTATTAAATGCCCCCTCTTGGACCCCTAAAATTAAATAAACGCCCCGGGTGTTTATTAGATCATTTACGGTAAGCGACCACTAAATCTTTTCATTTTGGTGGTCTCTCAAGGGAGGTTACCACTAAGTTCAACTGATTCGATTAACCCACAAAGTAAAGGGACTAAAAAACTAGAAAATGTTTCCTCTCAGTATATTTTAATTTTACTTACTCTGATATAAGCTGCTGAATCAGGCTCAAACTGTACAACAGTCAGATCAAGAACATCTTCATGGCGATTCTGCTGAAACACTCTCTGCAAAACAGAAGAAATACAGCTTTAAAACAGCTGACTTGGAAACAAAATACCACAACCTTTCTATCAAGTATCCCCTCTCTTTTTACATTTCTTCTGTACTGTTGAACAGTAAAAAACTTAGTGCCTCTAACTGACACTAGAAGTGACTGTAAAAATTCTAGAATTTCAGGCCACTTCCAGTCTAAAAACCTCACTGCTGCTTGCTTATAAAACTCCACTCCCTTACACATGTGAGGTCGACTTGTGGCAATTCATAAAAATTCCTGCACAGAAATATAATAATGATTTATTATTCAGAACCAACTGTACCAAAATAATAGTGATTAGCACATTGCATAAACTCAATTGGAGTTACTTTGTCCATTAAGTTTACATTACCTTAAGGTTTTCATCTTTTAGCAGTTCAGGTATTTCATGTTTTCTCCCTGGTTTTGGAAAGTATATCTGATTCATTCTGTCCCTTTCCTCCCACCTGGCTTTTCGTAATCTTCCATTTGCCTCTCTTATTGTTATTAACCTTGTCTGAATAAGAAATAAACACTCAAAGTTTTAAAGTACAGTCAACTCTTGCTTAACCTTGTACAGTGTGACAGGCAAAATCGTGAACACTTGAAATATGTCAGGGATGTTTATTGTGCTATGACCAATCACAGCAAAGATCAAGACATGACCTGGCCACAAAACCACAAACTAATTGATGACCTTGCTTGTGGTTTAGTTTTCTTATGCTTGATTGGCTTTTTTTCTTGGAACACAATAACATAATATTCCCAGTGTTCATGATTTTCCTGGTTTGACTGTAAGTGCCAAATTTATATCTGCATGGTACACATTCTTAAGACTTAAATCTCCATACATTTTGTGAAAAATTTAGTTGTGAGAATTTGTTAAAAGATCGATCATTTTCCCTTCCCTTCTCTTTTATTAACTCTCATAACCCTTCTCCTTGATTATATATTGATACCTATGTTATAAGAAGAGAATTGGTCAGAGATGGTTCTATAAAATGGACACCTGGCCCCAGTTGTTGAGAAGGTGGATAGTACTATCCACAGTATAAATCTTTATCCAGTGGGTAGTGGTTTCCTTAACACTTATCCACAGGATGGAGATTTTTCCAATGGATAGTGTTATACACCTCTTGAACACCTGGGGCCTTGTGTATGTCCCAGGCTTTTGTAAGATCGTGACTCTAAGACAGACATGCAGTTGGGGTTGGTCATGACATCTAACAGGAATGGCAATGCGAATGTCAAAATAGCAATGGGTTTGATACACAAAACAAAACAGCTGCTGTCACCCAGAAAGAGCACTTCTGTAATCATTAATCTTACCCTGTTGCACACACTGGTACTAATATCAGTGAAGACATAACTTGACTCTGAAAAATGAGCTATGTCCTTATTTTCTTCCAACACTTCATCGATCTCCCGCCGTTCTTCCATCACAGGTGGCATTTGAAGTAATTTTTCAGCTTTCCCTTCAATTTCATGTTGAGCCTAGAACAAAAAAAATACATAAAAATATATAATAAACACCTTGCTAAAACAGACATCTGAAGTGGGACAGTGACTAGCTCCAGATGTCTCTTCTAAAAACATTTATGGGATGGGTTCCCGTGAATTTTCACGCAACCAAAAAATTGTTACTGATCGTTTCCCATGATCTCCTGGGCATGGAACTGAATTATTGTTTTCCATGGGAATTCAAGGGCTTGGTTTTAGAGAGGAGAGACCCCTGGGAATTTGAGCTAACTGCTCTAAAAGAGGAGAAAAGCCCCCTGCCCACCACATACATACCCCTCCCCCTCCTCTAAAAGAAAAATGTGTCAACTGTCAAATGGCCGATAATCGCCTGAATGTTGGCTGAGATACTGCAGAAATTATTCAAAATAAGTAAAAGATGTAGGATTTCTGTACAACTCCATAACATGCATAACTTAACATAAGATTACATGTACATTGTACGCATGTGTCAAATAGTATCACAGGTAGCCCAAGCTCGAAATATGAAACCCAGAAAACGGCCATAAATCGGCCCGTGGACCACACAGGAGAGACGTAACACACATTTTAAGTAAGGTAAGCTGTTTTTTATTGAAATCCTTTCATTTTCGTAGGTTAGAGAAACGATAGGTTTTCTTCCCATACAAATCCTTATATTTTGAATGTTACGCAACAATGCCGATGCTCGCCGATGCTCATATTTCGAGCTTAGGCTACCTGTGATAGTATGAAAAATATGCTACGGGCATAATAAATGTAGGGGGTTGTACGGAAATCTTACAGCAAAAGTACCCTTTGAAGTAAAAAAGATGTATCTCTAACCTGTAGAAACTCGGAATCTGTCATTAATTTGTATGTGGGAACAGTCAGATCTTGTTTGCGTGCAGAGTAGATTTTGTCCAAGTTGTGACCCGTGATTTTCTTCAAAATGGATCTTACATCTTTGTTATCGAAAGGTAGAAAGTTCGGATGGCTTTTAGAAGATTCATTCGCGCAAAAGGACCTTGAAACTAGCAATCGTAAAGGCGTTTTAAAAAGGCGAAATCTACAAGAGGTCGCCATGTTGATTATTTCACCATACATGACGTACTGTGTAGTGGTAATAGTGTACTGCTGACCAATCTTATTTCATCGGGGATGGGGTCGGGGATGGATAGGGATAAAAGCCAAAAAACACAAACAAATATTTTTAAATCCTGCGAGTTTCTTTCGATAAAAGTACTATTTTTTTAAAATTAAAGCATATGTGATAAAAACGTAGAATTAGTCAAATGAAAACCATCACTTGAAAGATTTGTCAAGATTCTGGCATCACTTCTACCCTACCCGACTCAGGTGTCTTAAAAACTCGGACAAGATTCAAGATGGCGGTCGTTTCAGCCCTGCTTCGCTACTGCATGAGGCATCCAGCTCGTGTATTGTGTATCAGTTTGTTAGTGCTACTTGTAATCGCCAGCCGGTTTCTTTATTCTTCGGTTCCGGAACAGCAGCATCTTCACGAGCTAAATATTATGGCTGGCAGCTTATCACATGTGGGTAACAGAAAACTTGTAAAAGCGAAGGGATACCAACCTATTTTGCCTGTAAAACATCTAGGTGTTGAATTAGAAAATAGTGAGTTTAAACAGGCGAAAGGGAAAGAACGCGATGAGAAAGAACATGGGAAAAAGTTCGCAAAGTCGGGTGAAATAAAGACGAATTTCGAGGCCAAGGCATCAGATGCAACAGAAGATAGTTATCACGAACAAAAGATTGAAAATGACTTAACTCATCAGAAAATTCCGGACAGTGAAAGGATTCGTGAACTTGCAGGAAAATTACCACCGTTTGAGGAAGCTGAAAAAGAAGATGAAGGTGAAAATGAGTCAACCCATCGGAAAATTGCAGACACTGAAAGATTGCATGGAAATGCAGGAAAGTTATCCCCATTTGAGGTAGCCGAGAGCAATGTAGAGAGCGAAAATGACTTAAATGCTCAGAAAATTCCAGATAATAAGAAGAATCATGAAAATACAGAGAATGCATTGTTCCCTAAAGTAGCTAAAAAGGATGAAGGGTTCCCACAAACAAAGATATCACAAGAAAAGGGAAAGCAAATGCACAAAGCACGACATGATAAAGTGACCGTAAGGAAAGATCGAAAGAAGAGCCAAAAGCATGACCCTTCTCGACAGAAGAACAACATCTTAATGGTGCTTGCCAAAGTTGGCCAGGCAAGTCCCCTTGCTCAACGGTTCAAGCGTTGTATCAAGTCAATATGTACACATTCAACAATACACCTGACTTTTCATATTTTAACTGACAATCTGGGGAAACTGACAAGTGACAATACCTTTAATGAAGCTGCCAAGGTGTGTAGGAATGGATTGAACGTGACATACTATGATGTTGGGGAGGTGGTAAAAAAGGTCCAGCCAGTTATTAAAGATCTCAAGGTAAAACTTGGTTTCCATACCAGCTAACCCTTTAAGCCCCAATATCCACATACAAATTCTCCAAAGTGATCTCCATACACTTCCGTAAAGAATTAGTTGAGAGAATTTGACATAAGATCAAAGCATTTTTCCTGAGGTGATCATTTTGTTAAATCTCGTAACCTTTTCTTTTGATAATGTACTGATATTGTGTGGAGAAAATTTATGTTGATCACTCTTGGGAGGGTGCTTGAAATGAAAATTTAAGCCTGACAGGTTCTTAAATGTTAGGTTCTTATAAGTGGGGTTTTACTGTAATGTGTGCAAAGCCTATGTTACAGGTCAAAATTAAATTCAGGTTAAAAGTTCTTAACCTAGGTTGATACTCAGTTTCCTTTGTCTCCTAGACCTGATTATAATTCAAGAATTAGGGCTAGGAGACAAAAACGGAAATTGAGAATCAACCTAGCTTAAAAATTTTTAGCCTGAATTTTGTTCTGGGCCCTCAACAGTCTAGATGAATACTATTACCAGAAATGAGTTTCGAATTTCCCTTTAACATTACTGGCAAATCAACAACGGCTTTGTTAACAGGCCATTCATTCATGGCATGTCCTCGAATCCTGGTGCACAGGTGGGGGCCCACAATAAGAATTTTTGTGTGTTTCACAGATGGACTACCCTGTGAACAGAGGCTACATTTTCACTGTGTGAGCTGGCCTGCGAAAAGTAGCCTCTGCCAACAACCGTTCAAGTCCGTTCAGAAATCTGGACGAATAAATTAAAAAAACGGTTTTTTCCCTGTTCTTGACCAGTTTAGAACATTGCGCGAGTCTTGCGTAGCAGATCAGAGGTGTCGCAATTTTTTATTCCTGTGAAACTCGCGCCATTTGATGACAGACGTGACGATTACTTTTGCTTGTGAATCGCGTGATGAATTTTGCATGTGCAGGATAGAAAATTGAACGCTTTTCGGCAGAGGCTACTTTTGGCACGACAGCTCACAGCGAAAAATAGCTCCTGCTCGTAGGGTACAGATGGACTTAACCAGAAGTTTAGTTCCATCTGTGGTGCAGGCTGCTCTAACAGTTTCCCTTGTTTCATACAGGGTCTGGCTTGGCTTACCTGATTTCATACAAGGCTTGTAAAAATGCATTTAACCAATTCAAGGTTGATTTCTCTAATGCCACAATCATCACTTTGTGTTTTTCCTTTATCTTTCAGCCCATCTTTACCAATGGTGATCCCAATTCTTACTACAGTGATTCTCTGTTCTTTGTATCAACTGCAATTCATCATGTTTTGCCTAAAAATATGATGCGCATCATATCACTAGATTCAGACCTGCTTTTCCAAGCAGACATCAAGCATTTGTTTTCTGAGTTTGATACCTTCAAGTCCAGCATGGTCCTTGGTCTTGCAAGAGAACAACAACCTGTCTATAGACATGTTTTGCACATGTTTCGAAACCGAAATCCTGGCACAATTGTCGGCGGACCACCCCCTAATGGCCTTACAGGATTTAACAGTGGGGTAGTCTTAGTCAATCTACACAACCTGCGCAAATCAAAACTGTACAACAGTCTCTTAAATGGCAGTGTAGTGAAAGAACTTGCCAATAGGTACTCTTTTCAGGGGCACCTTGGCGATCAAGACTTTTATTCCTTAATCAGCTTGGAATACCCTGAACTCTTCCACATCCTTCCATGTTCGTGGAATCGCCAACTGTGCACTTACTGGAAGGATCATGGATATACTGAAGTCTTTGATTCATACTTTAACTGTTCTGGACCCATTCATGTGTATCATGGCAACTGTGGGACTAAAATGCCTAATGAATGATACAGGAGTTTACAGTGAGGTAAAGTTCAATGGTGTCCTGTGGCACAGATTGAATGAGCTAGGAGGTAGTTTAACGTCAGCACAGGCATACCAGTAGACTGCAGGCAGCTCATTGTCTAGTGAGCAAACAATCACGGTAAGGCTAGCAGAAACAAATGAGCAGGGAACATCTGAGAAGGAGACAATTCCTTGGTTCACTTGCTTGTAACAAGACCACTCACTAACAATTCCAAGGAATTTTATCAATGTAGCACATGTGCTTTAAGCTCCATTTGCTGAAGAATGGAGAGGACACTTCCTGTTTTCCTTATTGTAGTTTTCTAGATCTGCTTAACAGATGCCTCAAGCACTGATCACAGCTTTCGTAGACAATACAACTATTCCACATTACCTGATCATGACCTTGGGTGGACAGTTCCATGGGGGAGAGTGGTGCGAAATGAAGAGCAAATGGGAAAAATCCGCACCCCCTCGTTGTTTCCGTGTTCAATTTTTCTTTGAGCCTTCCCCACTACCTGAACGGCTGAAACAGGCTAAAAACTAGCTAATGTCTTATCAAGGAGGGGAGAAGCAATAACCCAAAGCCATATGCATCATCAACAGACAGCTCATCCCAATGATTCATATGCTAATATAAATTTTACTCTCAATTTTCATAGAACCAATATAACTTAGGCGCTGATACCCTTAACTTATTCTCATGCATCTCTTTTGTTGTTCATACGACCTTTTCAGCAGGTGTAATCCAAAAATTAGGGAATATGATGAGGGAGATTAGAGCTGACCCCAGGAGTTTACAGTTTACATGAACTATTTGAGATGACCCCCCCTCCCCCCACACACACACACACACAACCTATCGGACTGAATCCCCCACCCTATTTTTATCAAATGAATGATCAAGTTGTTGATGTGGCACACAATAATATTATTTAACTTTTCACAATAACTTATTTGCGAAAAGAGATCAAGGGAAAGGAAATTAATTTTATAATGTACATATCTGTAAATCTAGAGACATCAGATTGTTTTATAGAATAGACGTAGGATATGGTATGTTCCATATGTAACTAAATTTATAAAATAGTATATTTGTCAATGAAAATGTCCTTTTATATGCACACATGCAAGTTTATTTACTTTCCACACATTTAAATCCTGTTATTAACCCTTACTGCAGAAAATTAATTGGGATAATATTTTGTCTTTAAGGACATTTCTCAAGTTTCCCCGAAACTACAGGTAACCACTTTAAAAGCAAAATATGATTCATTCCTTCTTAAACCTGCTCGCTAAGTACATTGGTACGCTGGTCATCCCAGTTGTTGGTTCATTTTATAGTTGGTAAAAGTAGTACGCTAGTACGTAAGAACACTAGTTATCAGCACTATATTCGCTAGTACGTTGGTACGCTGGTCGTCCCAGTTGTTGGCTCATTTTATAGTCAGTAAAAATAGTATGCTAGTACTGATGACTAAGCAAAAAAGTACAAAAAGCCATTCCTAAAACAGGCAGCATAATTGTGTAAACAATGGGGGGTTGGGGGGGGGGGTGTAAAAAATTTTTTTTTCCGGCCCTTCAGGCCTCTGTTTGGTTTAAAAATAGGGTCACCCCTGGATCCACCACTGCCACTGTTCAAGCTACCCGTAGTAAGCAAAACAACACGACTTTTAATTGAAGGACTCGTATCATTTTGTTCTCCAAAGCCTACTCCATTCTGCAACAGGTCTCATAAATTTTGTCACTGATTGCTGAAAGTAAATGCTATCCTGGCAGCGCAACATACAGTAGAGGGTTCATAAATAGCTCCAGAAATAAATAGTAGATAAGCTCAATCCTAACTCGCCCCCCCTTCCCCCATCTTTACGTGTTTTGCATTAGGAAGACAACTAAGAAACTGGTCACTTCTGCAGGCGCAATCTTTTCCGCTACATTTGGGTGCGCACCTTGGTGAACTGTCGTCAGGGTCAGTTGACAATGAAAAATATGTCATACACATTTTTTACGACACATACTGCCAAATTCTTGTCCTTTTTAACAGCTAGTTTATTTCCTGTAACCTTAATTACAGTACTTACACTGCATTTTGAAAGGAAAACCCTTCATATGTTTTACACCCAATATATTCCCTCTCCCTCTCTACACTCAATTTTTCAATTATTAGTAAAATCCTCTGATATTAATCTCCTTATTGCTTAAGCCAGTTAAAGATTCAAATGATGCCTTCTTTACTTTTCAGTAGACATATATTATTGGTGTGAACTTGCAGTTAAAAACTGCCAACATTAATGACAAACCATGTCCATACCTGGAAAATACTCTTCTGTCTCTTCTATCCTTTACGTTAATTATGAAACCTCTATTTTTCATTTTCAGCGTCTTAAATATTAAACTTCATTGCAGTTTCAGCACCATCAACACATTCAGCCTACATTTTTCACATTTCTAGTTTATTTTCCATGTTAATCTCAATGCTATGAAACTATCCTTCACCCTTTTTAGGTTCATTCTTTTGTTTTGACAAACAAATCTTTAAGGGTTTCCATTAAACGTCAGATATCGCTCACAGGCTATATCAGACAGTTCTGAGACAGAGCTCCTGTATTCAAACAGCAAGGGTCACTTGCTGATTTTTAAGGAAGAGAAAACAAAAGCGATGATAGTTGACTATTCTTTAGAAGCTTGTGCCAATTCACTTTTTCCGTTTCTTAAATTGATGCAGTTGTGCTTTTTTGTTGTTGTTTTTTTCATCTCAGGCAATTCTTATTTTTCTTTTGCTTTAACTTCATTAGCATACATTAACATACAGCCAAAACAAAAGAAAAACAAAAACTAGCTAAAATAAAAAATTAACTGCAATATTGAGAGCTGAAGGTAATGTACACATAGGCTAGCTTAGCAATACATTTTATAGATCCAGAGAGAACTTAAGTGTTATGCCCAGTGAATAAATATTATTTGACTGTACAATTATGATGATTTGTCATGAATTCTTTATCATTTTTGCCACCGTCCTGTTTCCACTATGTGAAGAATATACATTTTGAGGCAAAAAGGAATGCTTAGAGAATTTACAAACTCCAGAGAGCATGGTGAGAGCATCTTGCGGATTGCAAGACGACAGAGGCGTTTCAAGCTTTTAGGCCTCACTGCAAAATAATGAAATAGAAATTATTTATGTTAAAAAAATATGACAACAAAACGAAATTTTACAAAATACATGTGGGTACTTTGAGGGAATTTAATATAATAGCAGGAACATATAACAAACCAAGATCACAGGAAGAGCTGGAAAAATGGGATTTGCACAATGAGTGCTGAGTGAAGAAAGAAAGAAAGAAAGAAAGAAACAAGAAAGTCATTTGCTAACTCTTTTAAATTCATGCCAGTCATTTTTATTAGCTTAGGGAACCCCAAAGAACTAAATATAGAGCAACAGTATTCTGCATTGTCATACAGCTGAATCCGTGAGCAGGTAAGAGAAGTGAATCCTGTGTTCTGATTGGCTACCCGAGCAGATTGACTCATCTCTCTGTTTGGCCATTAACCCTTTAAGTCCCAATATCCACATACAAATTCTCCAAACTGATCTCTATACATTTCCTTAAAGAATTAGTTGAGAGAATTTGATAAAAGATCAAAGCATTTTCTCTTACGTGATCATTATATTGATTCTCATAACCCAATCTCTTGACAAATTATGTATGGATATTGTTAGGAGAAAATTAATGTTGGTCACTATTGGGACTTAATGGGTTAATAAATCCTTTATTCACCAAGCTTTTTTTAGTCAAGATAGCTAGATATTGGCCTAAACTCATAAACACAAAAAGAATTGGCCATATAATTATATCTAAATCAATTATCACAAAAAGAGGTCTTTCTTTCAGTGAAATCTTACCTTGACTTTCCCAGAGCAGCTCTAACAGCTGTTGATAAGACCTACACAGCTCCACATTTGAAGTGTTTCCATATCTCGTCATTAAGGACTGAACAACAGTCTCTGCCGAGTTACCATTGTCATCCATGATGTCACATCGTGCTCCATACTCAAGGAGAAGTTGTGTTAAAGGCCCTGACTCTTCTCCCCTGAGAACTTTAATAAAGAGCAACAAAAAATGAATTACAACCGCTGCTTTCTGTTAAGCACATAATAATAATTATTGGGCTGCCTGTGGCAAAGCCAGTCTGAAAATGGGCTTCGTCTTCTGTTCAACAAAAAGACAAAATGGCAGAGAGATGAAATGATCCCCCTTAGAGCCTAATCTGTTTCTTTTTTTCTCTGTATAGGGGTAGCTATACACATTAGACCAATTCAGCCCTCTTGTAATGTACCGAAACAAAACAAAAACCGCTAATTTGTCCAATGACATGACATCATAGTAAACTACTTATTTTGGTATTCAATTTTGCTCATGGTTGAACTGCGCTGCTTTATGTCTGTTACATTTAAGCAATCAGAAAATTGATTAAAATTCTCCGTGAAACTGTAAAAGGTGAAAATTATGAAGAATACAGGTTAAAAAACCTAGCCTCTCACACTAGACTCGAAAATGGTATGTCTGCTGTTTCTCAATGCAGAAAATAGCAACTGTTATGTAGGCGGGAACATATGAACCCACAATTGACCTGCTCCCAACATCAGTGACTTCATAGCTCTTTTGGTAGAGCATCACACCGGTATTGCAAGGTCACGGGTTTAAACCCTGTTGAAGTCCTGAATTTTTTTTTTCAGGCTTCTTTACGCAATTGCATAATTGCGTTCACTGCGATGATCCATTTCTTCATTTTCATCTTATGTAGGCTCTTTATCTGATCATCACCTTATCATCACCATCATCATTCAACTTTCCTTGAGATCGACAAAGCTTAACCAATGGGTCAGAACTGGGTGTAAATGCTCCCCATCCCACCCTATCCACTCACATACTAACCTAAGTGAAGTGGTGTGCGGCCATGTTCTGCTTGAACGTTAGGATCTGCTCCTGCATCAAGTAGGTACTGCACACAAGCAACACTCTGGGCTTCACAAGCCACATGCAAAGCTGTCTTATAATGAGCTCTGTCAGTCTGGTTTACAAATGCACAATATTGCAACAAAAGCCTGGCAACATCACTGAAATATAAAAAGAGAAGAAAGTTAATAAGTCTCTCTTTGTGATATGGGTCGCGCAAAGATATGAACTCTCACTTAACAGACACTTAGACCAGACTACTTCGGGCACTGCTCTTGGGGGTCTCAACTAGCCAGATGTCTGAACAACAGTTCAGCTTAATAACCTCAGGGAGCCTGATTCTCAGATGTTTGTTCAAGGTCACTTCTGGGAGAGGGAGAGAAGCAAAGGGGGGGGGGGGGGGGGCAATCAACCTCGGATATCTAAGAATCAGGCTAAACCTTAGTAAACTTGGCCAACACCCATCCAGTCCTTGCTCCTTGAACTGTCTTAATACAGAGAGGAATGTAATATATCAGCTCTTATTACAAACTGAATCATTGGATGCAATTCTTGGGCTCTGATTGGCTTAGCCATCATGTTATATGAGCCATTACACCATGCTCTCCAAATATGGTAACTGCATGCGTCTGCTCAAAATTAAAAACAAGCTGAAAATCGGTTGTTTTTACAAATAAAGTTGGGAAGAATTCTCAATATTTTGTGGGCATTTTTAATAAAACAATAATTATTATTCCACGCACGCTTGTTGGATATGAGATGATTATAGCCAACTCGACCCTATGCACCTCATTGGCTATCTACCATCTCATATCCAATGTGCACTCATGGAATCATTGTTAAGTATACTGTGATACATCCTACCATAACAAAGTTTGGCCACTGAGTCACAACGGGGTGTAAATGCAGGGTTGTCACTAAGATTTCGAGTTGCTGGGTATATACAACAAGTAGGCGAGGAATCAAACAGCTAGGGATTTCTTTTGGTTCTATTTTTCTTCTATTTTCCAATAAAATTAGCCAGAGGTCACATTCATAGTAGTTGGGGATAATCCCTGGCCCCCGGCTCTTTATGACAGCCCTGAAATGCACCCCACCCCATCTCACCCTGTCCCGTCGCATACTAACCTAAGTGAAGCAGCACATCCACACCCAAAAATTCCTAAAATACCTCCTAGGCCTGATCCACTCAAGCAAGATTATGATTCAATGTCAATGAACTCACAAAAACCTTACTCATCAATTAATACTATTATTTTAACAAACCTGTGAGCCCTCTGTGATGCTAAAAACAATGGAGTTTGGCCCCAGGCTTCCTCCACATTAGCTAATGCTCCAGATGCTAGTAACACTGCAGCGCAATCAAAGTGACCAAAATACGCTGCTTGATGAAGTGGAGTGCTGCCAAACCTGATAAAGAAGGGAGCAGTCAAATAACATTGCTGACCCTGAATCGGCCCTGAATGACGTAATGTCAGTGAGCTTATGCAGCACAATGGAAGGGAAAAAGATGATACCAAAATGTAGTGTTAAAGAAACAGTTGTGGTAATTTTCATTTGCTTTCAAGTCACCATGGCAACAGTTTAACCTAACAAAACACCCCTGATTTATGCGTTAACTGATTTTAACTCAGAAACATAACAATTTATTTTTGAAATGCAATAAACTTGAATGTCAAGTATACGTATCAACTTTTAAGTTCATAAGTCAGAGCTGTACTCAAGCAGCACCCGGTGGCCTGTGGCACCTAACTTTTGCTCTTGGACAACTAGAAAATCTTACTTTTTTCATCCAAATCACATGCTGGGCACCCTGGATTTCACAAGTTCAGAGCACTGGGCTCCCTTCAATTTTTCTCAGAGTACAGCCTTGTAAGTTAAGACTCAAGTGAACCTACTCGTAAGTGGTATGTGTAAAGACTTGTGGCAATTTTGAAAAAAGGTAGAGCCCTTAGTATAACAGCACATTGAGAGCTGAAAACCAAGCAGAGTCTAACAAACAATGACTGTACAGAACACTCTCTGCAGCATAAATAATATTATTATTCAAGGAAATATTAACACCCTCTTTGTGAAAAGTATTCGTGTTTAAACCTAGATGTTCACTTAACCAAAAACTGATCCATCTTAATTTGTTTAACAGAGTTTACTCTTACCATTCCCTGAAAAAGTTTGGCTTTAGGCACCCCTTTATAGCTGTCTGACTTTTAGAGAAATAACTATTATTTCTCTAAAAGTCAAACAGCTATAGATAGTTAAAATAGTTAAATTATTTAACTATTATTTTGACAAAAATCAATATGTGTCAGGTAAATTAAATTTTCCCAGTCCCAGGCAGACACACATACATGTAGTACCACACTTTTTTTCTCCAGGTCATAAAGGTTATATTAACCACCTTGATGTGCTGTTTACATCTGCTCCATGTTCAATGAGACATTTGACGCAGCTAGCATGGCCATGGTAAACAGCAAGATGAAGAGGGGTCAGACCATCCTTTTCCTGTACATTGGGTTTTGCTCCTGTGAAATTATACAATTAATACAGCATTAAACCAGTGTAAACCATACTTCTTTTAGCAGGGAATATATAGGGGCTGTTCTCACTTGCTGCCCTAGTGCTCAGGTACAGGGACAAGATGGTATTGAGTTCACACCCCTGTAAGGTGCCAATATGAAATTTTACTGTAGCAGGAGGTCGTTGGTTATGCAAAGCAAAGGGTTGCCTCAGTGCTAACAGAAATCATGTGCCCACAGGTAGTCGGAATCTACTTTACTGCCAAAGACAATGTCCTGACATTAATTGATCACCATCACCATACCCGAATTCTGTGGTGGGTTCTTGAAAAAAGGATGGGTTCCCACTAGCGACCAGTGAGTATGGTACTCTGGCACCATACCCAAGCAGTAACTGTGAACTACATACCGCTCGGCTTATAGGTGAAGAAATGCAGTAGCCTTATATTATGTTGTAGTTTAATTTTATCTTTTTTTTCTTTTGTTTCATAGCCATTATTGCCCATTACCAAACCCAAAAACCAGAGAAAATATATTTTAAACCAAGGGTAAAATTGCATCACCAAACATATATCTGCTGTCTCCTTTTTAACTGACCTACCAAAGAGATTTTACTCCTTTTTTGGAAAGAAGTAAATTTTTCACAACACCTTAATTTTATAAATCCCATGTATTAAATGATTGCAGGCTTATTTAAAATCAACTTGCTGTTTTACACCACAAATTTTGTTGGTTGCCTATTCTTGTTGGCCCAGGGGCAGAAAGTGGACAAAAAAAAATTACTAGGTATACTTTTCTTTGTCAACAATTTGCCTGATCAGATTTCTCCTTGTTCCCACTACATGAATTTGCCTCTGGCTCTTCAAGGAAGGTTGCATACTGGACAACCACTCTTTTAGATCTTCCCATTCAAGATGAATTTTAGTTGGGGTTCAGAGAGGAAATACATTCAGTATAACTATGCTAAGTACTTACCAGCCTCAATCAACAGTTTAACACAGCCCAGACGTCCCTTTGCAGCAGCCAGATGCAAAGCTGTCTGCTTGGTATCTGGTTCACGCAGATCAGGAGAGATTTTTCTGTCAAACAGGGCCCATCGCAGGTCATCTTCACGCCCTTCACGAGCTGTGAAGAACAGTGTGTATCTCTGACCCATGACAGATGATGAAGCTAGTCTGTGTCCGCTGCAATGTATGCATAGTATATACTGGAAAATTAATTTACTAGATAACAGATGATCGTTATTATCCATTACTAAAGTGATCAAGGGGGGGGGAGGGTGCTCCCTTATGTAAGTCATATTTGTATGTTCCACTGCAAAGGTTATGGCTTTTGGGCCCTTTCGGGCTGAAAACAGGTAGAGACTTGGCCCATTTTGATCTGGAATCAAATAGTATGGTTTTTGCGGGAATTACAGGAGTGTATGAAAGTATTTGTTGTTTCAATTCCAAATGAATAATAAGGAAAGAGTGATAATTTATGTGAATTCAAAATGAATTTTAAGAAATCTTTTTGTTGGTGTTCTAATCTCAGTAGAAGCCAGGTATGAAAATGGGTATGGATTTTACAGGCCGGGTCTGAAAATAGGTGTGGAAAATCAGTGTTCTCACCAGGATTATGCCTTGGGGAGTCCCGGGGCCCCCTCTTCTGAGAAATAGGGGCCCTGTAAGAACATTAGGGGGACAAAGTTACAAAAAACATGCGGTACGCAGAACCTGAGCCCGCACTCCAAATTGTCTGTTACATGAAGTACCTACCTGATCCAATATGGCGGAAGAGGTGTTTACGATTCAGAGGAGGAGTTTACGATGTAGTGGGACTTGCGTGGGACCAATGAAAGTAAAGGCAACAAAATTACAGACTTTGACTCATTTGATATCATGTTTTTTATTTATTCAAACAAACAGAATGCTTTAGTGTTAGGTTGACCATTAAAACTACTTAAGTCCGTTTGACTCGTAGCTTGCCCCCTGCGCCCTAACGGGCGCATCTTCTTGGTTTTAATGCGCCATTTCAGTTTTTCTTGCGGGAATCCCGCAAGGCCGCGGCCTGGTGAGAACACTGGAAAATGACATTTTTTTGGCCTGAAATAGGGTCAGGATTTGGAGAACCAGATGGCAAATCGCTACCAAGAATTTCCAGAAGTACCAAGCCCTTCCCCCCACCCACCCACTTACCCACCCACCCAAAGTCAAAATCTTGCCATATTGCTTCATTTTTGTTATTTTATGGGAACCCAAAAGTTTTCAGCTTCTTAAAAAGAAATTTAGCCTGCAAAGATAATTCTCCTCCAAAAAAGCCTCGGTTTAATGTGTCTAATAAGGACTTCCTATATCATTTTAAGAAAGCAAAATGATGGGAAATGTTAATGAGATTATATTACATTTATTTTGAATTATCAAGTATTTTAATCTAAGAAGCAAGGGTTCACAAACACAAGGTATAAAAAATGAAAAGAAAATTTAATGACCAATGGTTCATCATTAGGGCCATTTATACAAGGAAAAATAAGACGCGTCTTACATAAGACGCGTCTTAAATAAGACGCGAACTGTACCATTTATATGAGCATGTCTCAGCTAATAAGACACGTCTTAGCTAAGCCGCGTCTTATTTTAGACGAAATGTGCTGTTTATACGGAAAGTTCGCGTCTTATTTAAGGTGCGTCTAATTTTTCCTCCTATAAATGGCGATATTGTCTGACGCTACATTTATGGCTCTACAAAAAGCATGGTTGCAATTTGTGAAATGAGTAGAAAAAAAAAACTTAACACTTTAAAAGGATCAGCCGTTGTTGAAAACTGTTGTTGAATAGGCTAGAAATCATCTATATTCTCGTTCAACAATATTCAAATCGTTGAATGGCCTTTTTTTAGCATTCAACATTATCTGATATTAAACAATATTCGCTGAACGAGAGCTGTAACATTTGGTGATCACCAAGGTAACGTCACGAGCTTAAAGGTTAAGTCCTTATACACTTAAAAAAGACCCAGAAAGAGATCGAAGTATTGATCCATTATTTACAAACATCGGCTTATTTCTTGTTTACAGCCTGCAAATTATGAACAGCATTCACCGCCGACAAATAATACAAAAGCAGATTATGGTCGACCTTAATTGGATCGATGGTCCAAAGCGATGGCCACTTTAAACTATAGTCAAATCAAACGCTTTTTCTTTCTTCCAAAGTGTCGAAAACAAAACGATAATCACGAATTATTAAACGCAGGTTGAAAATAACAAAATCATCAGCTGTACGTCACAAGGATAAATGAATGCCTGTCACAAAATCAGAGACTAATGAAGCGTTTGGAAATGATTTTCATAGAATTTGTGTCGTGATTGACTATCCACAAAACCAAATGATTTAAATACAAATCAGAAATCAAAGTAAAAAGAAACTTACCTTCAAATTATCAGCCGCCGTCTTCTCATCGCCGCCATGTTTGTTGCTGTTTGTTTTGTTCATTCTCGTTTCCAGACTCCTCTGACGGTATCGATAAATTTATGACGTCATATCTGAACACATTGCCACAAGCTGTGTAACTGAGATTAAAAGTCTAGCCGGATTTATGAAAACCGTAACATCGGACACCAGGAGCCCACACACCTTAAACTGACTCAACTAAAGTAAATATCGCCAAGAAACTCAGCTCTTACCCATGGTTCTCTTAAGGTGACTCTCTTCTTGGTTCCTGATTAGCAAAAGAAACATTCAAGTGCATCAAAAAGGCACTCTGGACTTGTCCATACACTCTAGCTGCTTAAAGGCCCTGAATGACGGAGGACGCTTGAGACTTCAGCAAGTTCTAAGCAGAGAATTCAAGGTTAAGTCACCCCCCCCCTGACTTCCTCCACCCCCCCAGCCTAGCACGTGCTTGAGGGGAATGCTTTCATTGGCCAATGGGCCTCAAACGTCACAAGAATTTCACATGACAAACTAAAGGCAGACGTGACCAGTGCACTGACTCTCCCAGACCAGGACTAACGGAAGGTACAACGCTTTTGAAGCAGCCTCCCCCCCCTAGGGATTGACGTAGAGGCCCCTTTCCAACCCATGGCGAGTTAGCTCAGGGACTGAACTTGACAATGAGACCAAGCAGGACAGCAAGCCCCCTATGTTTTCTCTCAGCGCAGTGACCAGAAAGCTGGCTATGGCCAGCTTTCTGTGCGAATATTCTGGTGCATTTTCAGGTAGGTTTTCAAAAATTCGGCTAGAAGTAGAAGTATAATTTCTGCATTTTTTTTGCAAAAATGAGTGTTACAAAAACAAGCATAATTGTTAGCATAATTTTAAACTTCAAATATAGGAGCACTACTAGAAGCAGAAGTTCTTCAGCATTTATTTAAGGCTTCGAAAAGAAAAATTAAACGCCAACGAAAAAATGTTTGAACGAGAGGCTAAATGGGTCCTAACAAGAGGCATAATGGGACAAAATGGGAGTCACAAAAGTGCACCGTTTTTCAGCTCTCCCTAATTTAGTTTCTTTCAGGGGAAGGAAATGGCCTGGGGAGGGGGGAAAGAGCTTATTGCTGCTCCTGCGAGACCGTTTGTCCGCGCGAAGTCTGGGAAAGTGCGGGCGTGTCCCCTCTCGGCGACGACGTCACAGCTCATGATAGAGTCCAGGATTGACCGAGCTGCGAACGCCGAGAGACTATCACCCGAGAGGGCAAGATTAATTAATGCGCCTGCCTGTCTTGCCAACTCGTCATTTCCCACGTTGGTTTTTGCAAGATACAAGTTATCTTGGCCATTAAAGAGTCTCCGTCAATGGGGTGGTAGCTATGACTGTTGACGGTTACGGTTAATTTTGTTTCCAATTTTGACGGTTGACGGTTATTAAGTAGAAAGTAAGTCTAAGAGTTAAAGTAAATATTGATTTCTATATAAATCAAAATTAACTTTTGTGTCTTGGATGTTGTCTTGGCCTTTCCAAATATCTTCAGATTTAAGAAAGTTGTAAGGTCTTGTTACGTCTAGAGAGTATGTTTTTGAGAACATGGAAACTGATTTTTCCAGTTTTAATAGAGATTCTTCAGGAGCCCAAAGTCCGGGAAGATCAGCTGAAATAGTGAAATTTACTGTACCTTAAAACTTTTTGACGGCTAACATCAATCTGCATTCTTGACGGTTGACGGTTAAATTTTAGGCCGTTTGACGGCTGACGGTTATCCCATTGAGACCTTCATAGGTCTTTTGTTGTCCGAGCTTGTTCGGTCAAATTGCCTAAATTATCAAATATTGGACTCCTTCCAGTTTTCAGTGTGGTTTTAGTGACCCCGACCTCGACTCAGCGCAAAAGACGCAAAAACAATGATAATAAAGATCTAGCCAACATCCAGCCATCACGATCTTGCGCTTGGTCAATATTGCATGTATTTTACACTGTGAAAGAAAGTCAGTAGCTTGACTCGTCTGTGGTGCAGGCTAAACTTAAGCCATCCGAGGTATCAACAATTAAACAACGTTTTGGCAAGAGACAATCCCCTCGTTCTCTCGTCGTTTTGAGTACGTTTTCGGTATTTTTTCTGTTTTTTTTTTTGTCAAACGTGAATAGAGAAAACTAAACTTCCAAAGATTTTTGTTGACAAAATCTCCAAGGGGGAATAGCTAAGAAGATACAAGGTCCGAGTGAGACAAGAAAAAGAATGAATTTTTGAGTGCAAATTGAAGTTTATTACATTATTGTACAATTACTACAAAACACAATAGCTATTATTTTAAGTAAGTCTTTGCTCTTTTAACTTTCTCATCTACTTGAAACATAAATGATCTATACTTTAAGTTGTCCTTTGGTATATAGAAATATGCAAATAGTCCCTTATTTTTCCTCAAATCCCGGGGGATGGCACATGTAACAAGTAAGCGCCAGTGGGAGAGGGCGACTGACGCGAGAGGCCCACACGACATTTGCTGCCTGCTCGATGCTCTGGTGATCTTTGAAGAAAATTTCATGAAGGAGCAACTTCAAGTAGTCTCTTGTAAATATTGTCAAACGTAATTCAAGTAAACTCAATTAAAATACATTATATAAAAACTGAAAAACATATTATTTTAAAAAATGTAACGTCGCTGCTTGCTGCCAGCGTGGTACACATCATACCCTACTGATCTTTGGAGAAAATTAAGCGACTGCTCGTAGTCTATTGTTGTTTACTATTTTCATACCACTACATGAGAAATTTCTGCACTTTGATTGGCTTAGAGCAGTGGTATTTCAGCTAAATTTGAAATACCTACGTGGAAAAATTACAAAACCTTTGCGGGTAGTAGTATAAACAAATAATAGCATGATTTGTACGTGATATTTGGCATAAATACCACTCGTGATATTTCAAAATTGTCTCAAATTTCACTTCCCTAACAGCTCGTGAAATTAAGTATCACAATTTCGAAATATCACTCGTGGTATTTATGCCAAATATCACCACTAATCATGCTATTACCTATACAAACTGTGAAACAAGGTATATAGAATTAAACACGTTGACAAAAATGTCATTTTCTATAAAATTAAAAAGCTTGACTAAGCCGCATTCACACCGAAGCTTAAACATGTTTAAGCTAACTGAACAGCCTAAAAGCTGTTTTAGTTGGTCTGAATTTTCTTTCCTTCATAAAAGCTGCTAACTTAAATTGATTGCACTGAGATTTAGTGAAAATTACAAAACATGCAGAACTTCATTTGAATCCTGTGTGAAACCCTGTGTTCCAGTTTTCCATGTCTGTTTTTCATGTTTTAAACTGAACCTGGTTTAACGAAAAATGTTTAGTTGGTGTGAATGGGGCATTAATTTCGTTTCACCTAGATAATTAGGTCAGCTAATGAAACGCAGCATGTATAGTCCTCACAAAAAAAGATAAACTAAAAACATCACAAAAAGTTTTTCGGCTTCCAGAAAGACGAGTCATTGAACTGCAATAGCAGATCACATTTTTAAGTGAGTGGATCTTAAACTAAAGTTGTATCACACATTTGATCAAATATCTGGATTCGATGGTTATCCCCGTCACACACAACTATCCTTCCATCGCTAAGATTTGCTGCAGAATTTGGATGCTTCAACTCACCGACCCCGCTACCCTTACTTCCAAACTTTGTGACAAACTTTCCACTTGGTTCAAATACTTGCACTCTGTTATTTCTCGAATCACAGACCACTAACAATCCTTGTTTGTTAACTGACAAATAACGGGGCTTATTGAACTCTCCATCCCGGTTCCCCTCCTTCCCAAATTTAGAAATAAACTTTCCTTCAAGATTTAATATTTTAATGGAATGGTTATTGCAATCCGAGACTACAAGATATTGTCCAAGTTGGATACAGTGATAGGGATTGAGGAAAAAATCTGGTCCGCCAAATTTTCGTAAGTACTCCCCACTAGAAGAAAATATCATGATTAATTGGGTACCGGTATCAGCAACAATGATGTCACCATTGCCGTTTATCGACACACCTTCAGGACAATTGAGCGGGGGGTGGTGACGACTTTTTTCCTTACCAAACTTACTAAGAAAGTTGCCATTGCCATCAAAGATTTGCACCCTGTGGTTATCATTGTCTGCAACCACAATATTGCCATTAGTATCAAACGCGATTCCTGTAGGATATTGGAACTCACCATTTCTCTTACCTTTCTTGCCAAACGATCTTAAGTAGGTTCCGTCGCTACTAAACACTGAAACCCTGTGGTTACAGTATTCAGTCACGGCAATTTCATCCCGATCATTCACTGCTATCCCCCAGGGTTCATTAAGCATTCCAAAATACTTACCCTTTTGTCCAAATGATTTCCGTCTTAATTGACTGGTTTGTACCTTGGGTTCCGCAAAAGAACCACCACGGCCAAATTTTGCTCTAATGTTTTCACCAGATACTTCACCGCTTTCTTCACGTTCAGCTTCTGATTGTTGAGCTTTCGTTTCGCTAAAAACAAATTCTATATTACCTATCCCCTCGCTCATGCTTAACAGGTTAATCAGTTTTTCGCTTTTAGTGAAACTAAACCGAGGAATACTTTCAGAGTTTCCTTGGGTGCCCTGTTCCTTTAGGATTGTATCAAATGTTTCAGTGAATCCAAGGATTTCAGTATTGAAGCTTCGGTTCAACAAAGATTCCGTTTGTTCAATTGCAGAGTTAATTGTTGTTATTTGATTTTCAAGTACGTGTTTTTTCTGTGTGAGAGATTCCAGTGATACTTTCGCTTGCTTATTGATTGCATCAAAGACTTCCTGTTTCTTTGCTTGGATGATTTCAATCATTTGGTCTACATTCGTCTGCACTTGGTTTCTTATCTCGGTTACCTGCTCTTGAACTTCCTTGCTCTTTTGGAGCAATTCTTCGACCTCCTTTCGTTTTTCTAGTGCTTTATTCTTTAAGGAAATTATCATGGCATTTATCTGTGTCTTGCGGTCATCTGTAGCTGCTTGCAAAAGCATCTTGCCGTGATCATCGTGAACTGTCATAGCACAAGTGTTACAAATGGCGACTTTACAGCCATTGCAAAAGAACTTCAGTTCTTCTTTTTCATGGTGTTTCTTCTGGCAAAATGCTGGTCGCTTTAACACAGCCTCGATGTCTTGATCCTGAAAATGCTTCAGTGCCAGAGTTTTGTGATCTTTATTGGTGCGTATTATGTTATGTCCTAAAATACATTCCTCGCACCAGAAAGAACAACACTGAAAGCAATATAAGGTCTGGGCGCTCCTTTTGTCGCAGTTTCCACATTTCACGTTAGCAGTACTGCACTCTTTAATTGTCAGGACATCTAGCAAACTGTTGATACGAAAATTGGTGGGAAGCTCGCTGGGATTTCCACTTCCAGGGATTTGAAACTGTTTCCTACACTCGGGGCATGTAATTTGGCCATGGACGCCGCTCGATCGCTGAATATCATTCAGGCATTGAAGACAGAAACTGTGCAAACAAGGCAACTGCTTTGGATCAGTGAATGGGCACATGCACACAGAACAGGATACTTCATCATTAAGATTGTCCAGCAAGGTTTTTATATCCATGGAAAAGATCGGGAACAAAGCGAGTTTTGAAATACTGTAGTCTTGTTTTGACGATTAAAGAAACGGCTACGTGCCGAAGAACAATACACGGGGCCTTTCCAGTGACCCGGACTCAGCGTTTTTATGATTTTTATAACTAGTCAATCAGACTTCTTTCCCTTGATATGACGTATTTGCCAAGGAATCCAAAAATATCCTGCATAGCTCAGCATTAGCAATTAGCTGAGTGCTATTGTTGACATATTTACTTCCGAGAATTGTTATCTGCTAACAAAATCGTAAACTATTAAATTTAAACTTTTTTACAAATTCTCTCAGAACGTTTTATACTGACACACATCCATTTCTAATGGTAAATAGAGACTTCCGATTGGAAGACTGAAATTAAAGAGGGCCCCCTGGAATGAGGATGGTACGGAAGTCTATTATGGGTCTATTTACATAGTTCGCTTTTGACATATTTCTGACTTACAACATTTTTTACTCCTTGAGGAGTATAGGCTTTAGTATTCAAAACTATGACTTCCTTCATGCTCCACTTACCAAGTTTACTGATGCCTGATTTAAGTTTTTATTTAAAAAAGAATAAAAAGAAAAAGACTCAGTGAAATTCAACGAAAACAAATTCTCTATGCCCTAAAAGACCTATGATGAAAAATGCTCCATCGCGGCAACGCAGGACCTCACAATCGCCGCTGTAAAAATGTCTAGGGAGGGGAAGGTGGTGGCACACCTTGTATTTTCAAGAGAAACGAACTTTGGCCAACATTTAGCCCTCTTAACAGCACGCGTGGTAATAAATGCATATATTTCAAAAAGGTAACGAAGGCAACCGGATTTATAAACATGCACGAATTAAAGACTTTTTGGGTAGTTTTCGTTGTTTTTGTCTAGATATTGCCTTAACCTTTTTTGGCAAAACCTCCAGGAAGGAATAGGTAAAAAGGAATAAACGTTTTCGGGGAAAACGAACCAAGCAAGCTTCAAATGAAATTACTAGTTTATTACAAATTTATGGTAATAGTTATTACACCATGTTTAGTACAAAGCCATAATAGCCAGTACACAACCGTTATCAGGAAATATTGTTAAAAGGTATAAGCCCCTAAAGTTTCCACATCAGACTAGAGTGATTTTATGTACTTAAGCCGTGAAATAGGTAGTCGAATACTACGCACTATTATGCACTAATTCTATTACGGTCTTTTTTTTGTTCTGATTTCTAGCTATTTTGCACTACGGTAGTTGTTATTATCTGCTTCAATTCACGGTTCAAGTAAAATCACTCTAATTCTAAGCAAACATAATCTACAGTTTTAACTATAAATCCTTTCAGTGTTCTATATTAAACTGCAAACAAACTTTTTAACAAGCGAGCTTTGTACGGTTATGGCTCGTTCCGCGTAATTTCTAGTCGCTGCTAGTGTGGTACACATAAATACGCCACCCACTGATCTGTAAAGAAAATTAAGCGATTGCTCGCAGTCTATTGTTTTATATCTTGGCATATATGATACACGCAACCACATTCAAAATAATTGCGTTATTGTTTATGTGGACTAAAAAAAAATAACGTACTTGCATGAGCGCCCTAGAAGAAAGGTAATTAACCATACATCCTTGAAACTGGCTTTTTTTTAAAAATGTGAACCCCTACACTAGTTGCACTATTTAACAGGTTAAACAGCATTAACACTAAAACGGTTGTAAAAAATACATTTGCCAATCAAAAACCTGAGTACAATTTGTATTATTTTGTTAAGTATTCATACAAGTTATGACTAAGTTCACCCAGCAGACCAGCGATGCTACCATGCAAATTAAGAAAGGTCAAAAGACTAAACTACATAGAAAAATATTTTTCGTCCAAAAAATACGAGTCACTGAGTACAACAGCACATCTCAATTGTAAGTGACTAAATCTTAAGATAAAATTAAATCACATTTGATTAGTCAAATATCTGGATTCGATGGTTATCCCCGTCACACACTGCCACCCTTCCGTCACTAAGATTTGCTGTAGAATTTGGATGCTTAAACTCCCCTTTCTCGTTGCCTTTACTTCCAAACTTTGTAACAAACTTTCCACTCAATTCAAATACCTGAACCCTGTGATTTCCTGAATCACAAACCATTAGCAATCCTTCTTTGTTAACTGACAAGTAACGGGGCTTATTCAACTCACCAGACTTATGCCCCTCCCTTCCAAATTTAGAAATAAACTTTCCCTCATGATTAAACAGTTTAATAGTTTGGTTACTGCAGTCTGAAACTATCAGATATTTCCCATGTTGGATACAGTGACAAGGAGAGGCAAAAAAACCTGGTCCGCCAAATTTGCGTAAATACTCCCCGCTAGAAGAAAATATCTTGATCAATTGGTTGCCGGTATCAGCAACGATAATATCATCGTTGTCGTTTATTGAAAGACCTTCAGGGAATTTAAGCTGGTAGTCCGCACGACTTTTTGGTTTACCAAACGCTCTCAGAAAATTACCATTGCCATCAAAGATTTGCACCCTGTGGTTCTCATTGTCTGCAACTACAATGTTACCAAGACTATCAAAAGCGATTCCTGTAGGGTACTGGAACTCACCGTAACTCTTGCCTTTTTTTCCAAACGATCTTAAGTGGGTACCGTCACTACTAAACACTGAAACCCTGTGGTTAGAGTTTTCAGTCACAGCAATTTCATCATGACCATTCACCGCCACACCGTATGGATTGTAAAGCATTCCAAAAGACTTACCCTTTTGTCCAAATGATTGCTTTATGAAATACATGGGTTGTGCTACCAGACTGTCAACAGAACATTGACTACCACGCCGAAAGTCCGCTCTTTTAGAACCCTGACTGGCCCGGCGAAATTGAGGTCTCGTATTTTCATCAAATACATCACTTCTTTGTTCACATGCAGCCTCTGATCGTTTCGCTTTAGTTTCGCTAGAAACAACTTTTACATCACCTATCCCTTCACTGTTCAAAACCTCAATTAGATTTTCACTTTTATTGAAACTAAACCGAGCCGGGATAGATTCAGCTGAGTTACGATTTTCAATGGCGCGGTCTTCTTGTAGGATCGTATCAAATGTTTCACTGAATCCAAGGATTTCAGTACTGGAGCTGCGTTTCAACAAAGATTCAGTTTTTTCAATCGCAGATTCAATTATTCTCGCTTGATTTTCCAATTCGTTTTTTTTCTGTTGGAGAGATTCGAGTGATTTTTTCGCATGATAATCAACTGTATCAAAAAGATTCTGTTTCTTTACTCTTATAATTGCAGTTATTTGGTCTACATTCCTCTGTACTTGGCTTTTCACGTCAGCAACCTGGTCTTGAACTTCCGTGCTCTTTTTCTTCAATTGCTCCACTTCCTTTCGTTTTTCCAGTGCCTTGTCTTTTAAAGATTTAATCACGGAGCTGATCTGCGTCTTGCGTGCATCTATAGCTTCTTGCAACAGCATCTTCCCGTGACCGTCATGAAGTGTTACAGCACAAGTGTTGCAAATGGCCACTTTACAGTCCTTGCAAAAGAACGTAAGCTCTTCTTTTTCGTGAAGTTTCTGTTGGCAAAATGCTGGTCGCTGTAAGACGGCCTCGATGTCTTGATCTTGAAAATCTTTCAGTGCCAGTGTTCTGTGTTCTTTATTGGTGCGTATTATGTTATGTCCTAAAATACATTCTTCGCACCAGAAAGAACAACACTGGAAGCAATATAAGGTCTGGGCACTCCTTTTGTCGCAGTTTCCACATATCACGTTAGCTGTACTGCACTCTTTAATTGTCAGGACATCTAGCAAACTGTTGATACGAAAATTGGTGGGAAGTTCGCTGGGAGTTCCACTTCCAGGGATTTGAAACTGTCTCCTGCACTCGGGGCATGTAATTTGGCCATGGACGCCGCTCGATCGCTGAATATCATTCAGGCATTGAAGACAGAAACTGTGTAAACAAGGCAGCTGCTTTGGATCAGTGAATGGGCACATGCACACAGAGCAGGACACTTCATCATTAAGATTGTCCAGCAAAGTCTTTATATCCATGGAAAAGATCGGGAACAACCTAAGCTTTGAAATACTGTAGAGAAATAACTGTTCTGAAACACCAATATCGGTTTTTCCACGTGACACAGTGAATGCCGACTTTATTACGTCATTGATAAACAACCAGAACAGGGTTACTTTGAACTTTTTGACGTATTTTAGCAGCAGTTATCTACCATAACTGAAATATGCAATTCTAAAAACTTTTAACCAACATACTCATAAACTATATAGAAATAATTAGAAAATCTTTTGATAGAGACCAGACTGGTGATAAGTAGATTAAAAGAAGATTGGTGCTCCAAGAAAGTGAAGAAAGAGGATCATACTGCAATGTTTCTAAAAATTTTTTTTCTATGTCTATCAGTTACACATGTACCCTAACCAAGTTATTTGTTGTGACATATTTCTGCGTTATAAGTAGATGTTTTTGATGCTTCAACAGTTTTGCCGCCTTGAAGTGTATTCACTTTGGTATTGACTAAATGAAAGACTGGCTTTTCTGTGATACCGCTGGCCTAGGCTTAGGTAGATCGAATTCATATTTGATGGTGGCATTGGGGTAAAACAAAAAGAACGCGTTAGACGCAGCTTCACACTGTTTGGACATATGCAAAAAGGCGGAAGGAACCATTTCTTCACGGGGAAGCCCACATTTTACCCTTTCACGACCTTATCAAGACACACAACACTCCCGAATACACGCATCCTCCCTCCCTCATTTTTGTTTTGTCGTTTTTGTCTTTTTTTTTCCTTTCACAATACCAAGACACTTCTGCAGCCTCGCTCGAGTGTGTAGAGTGCACAGTGCTTGAGTCAGTGTCAGGAGCCGCTTACTAAACATTTTCCCGCCCTTTTCTCCCAGCAATTACTTTACTGCTTTCTTGTCGTTTCATTCATGACTTTACTCATATTATATAATAAAGGGAATAACATAAGATTTAAAGAATCAACCATAAGAGAACACAGAGGGTCGTGGGTTCGAATCCCTTTTGGGGCTCAAATTTTTTCTGTGTCCTCTCATGGCTGATTCGTTACATCTTCCTTTATTCCATAATTCATGATGTTTGCGCCGTTTTAGGTTGACTAAAAAAAAGTTGTTACATTACCTATCCCTTCATCGTTTAACACGTTAAACAGTTTTTCACTTTTAGTGAAAGTAAAGCGGGAAACACACTCAGTGTCACGGTTTTCTTCGGTGCTCTGTTGCTGCAGGATTGTATGAAATGTTTTATCGAATCCTAGGATTTCAGTACTGAAGTTTCGTTTCAACAGCGATTCAGTTTTTTCAATTCCTGATTCAATTGCTTCCACTTGATTTTCAACTTCCCTTTCTTTATGTGAGAATGTTTCCAGTGATTTTTTCGCTTCGTTATCGACTGCAGCAAAAACATTTTGTTTCTTCCCTTCGATGATTGCAATCATTTGGTCTTCATTCCTCTGCACGTGGCTTTTGACTTCGGTTACTTGGTCTTGAATGTCCATGCTCTTTTTCTTTAATTCATCGATTTCCTTTCGTTTTTCCAGTGCCTTGTCTTTTAAAGATTTAATTACGGAGTTGATCTGCGTCTTGCGCGCATCTGTAGCTTCTTGCAAGAGCATCTTTCCATGACCGTCATGAAGTGTTACAGCACAAGTGTTGCAAATGGCGACTTTGCAGTCCTTACAAAAAAATGTGAGCTCTTTTTTTTCATGGTGTTTCTTCTGACAAAATGATGGTCGTTGTAAGACGCACTCGATGTCGCGATCTTGAAAATCTTTCAGTGCCAGCGTCTTGTGGTCTTTATTAGTGCGTATTATGTTATGTCCTAAAATACATTCCTCGCACCAGAAAGAACAACACTGGAAACAATATAAGGTCTGGGCGCTCCCCTTGTCGCAGTTTCCACATATCACGTTAGCTGTACTGCACTCTTTAATTGTCAGGACATCTAGCAAACTGTTGATACGAAAATTGGTGGGAAGTTCGCTGGGATTTCCGTTTCCAGGGATCTGAAACTGTCTCCTGCACTCGGGGCACGTAATTTTGCCATGTACGCCGCTCGATCGCTGGATATCGTTCAGGCAGTGAAGACAGAAACTGTGCAAACAGGGTAACTGTTTTGGATCAGTGAATGGACACATGCAAACAGAACAGGATACTTCATCATGAAGATTGTCTAGTAAGGTCTTTATATCCATGGAAGAGGTCGGCAGCAACTACGCTTTGAAACCACCGTGATGTAGGCTTGCTGTTGACGATTTAAGACATGGTTATGCAAAAGACCAATATCGGTTTTTCCTTGTGACCGACAAGAGTTACTTTGCATTTTTGATTTATTTCGAAATATCCAAAAATATCCCGCAATTAGCTATCCTATATTATGCCTGGGCATCTCTGAAAAGTGTTGATGCACCCATAAAATCATAAACTATTCATATTTTAAGAAAATCTGTCAGGTGTTATTAATATATCATACATCTCAGTACTGGTCGTTCGTAGAACGCATCGTAACCTTGGTGTTCCTGTGGTGCAAAGCCACAAATTTTCAAGGTATCGGGGGCGACTGCCGATTAGGTGCTCCTACTAATTTTATCAGGGGCATCTCGGTCGGGAAACTGGACTCCTTTCGATTCGATTTCGTTTCCGTTAGTGACGAACGCGGATTCGTAATCAATGATTACCTCTAGTCATTAATGATAATTTTACCTTGGCGCAGTTAAGTTGATGTATATCTACCAGGAGCCGTTTACTCGCTGATATCTTCTCGATGTTGAACATTCGTACTCGTACCGATCGTTAAAAGAGTCTGGCAGTCGCGGGGGAAGGTACTCCCTTATATGGTCTTTACGGGAACGCTCCGCTGGACAGGCTGGCAATCCGTCGATTTAAAGTAAAAAGCTGCCTTTCAATGTTGCTGTACCGGTAAGCGCTCGATCCCAACGATCTTACGAAAAAATAGGCGATTGTGGACAGTAAAGACGTACATTCGCTTTGGTATTAAAGACTGAATAAAAAGCCTGATTTTCCTGTGATACCGCTGGCTTAGACTTAGGTAGATCGAAGTCTTTGCATATGATTGAATTGTGGAGAAACGATACGGAACGCATGAGGTGCAGTTTCATGTACAGTTTGGCCTTATGAACTCAGCAGAACCACCGGGTAGCAAGTACTCACTCAACCATAAGCACAACCCACAACTAATCGATGGACAGCTGTAGTTTCACTGCGATACCCGTACCAAGATACTACCACAGCTTAGACCTATCATGTAGTCCCCTATTTTTCGATAAGATTCTCAGGATCGAGCATCGTTGTGGGCGGCCATCCTGGTTTCATATTTACCAGGAGGGCGTCGGGATTTATGGCGGTGGGGGAAGGGAGACGAGAAAAATAGCTTCCTCCAGGAGCTCATAAGTATGGGTTTATGAAGTGCTTTTGGGCTCCAGCTTCCTTCCAAACTGTCCCGCGCCCCTTAGGTAGATTTGACACTCATCCAAGATGGCTGCGTGTAAGTATTCGATCCTGACAATCTTATGGAAAAATAGGGGACTGTGAACAGTGTAGCTACTGCTGTGCAAGTTTTCTCTCAGATAATCCAGCATATCAAAAGAAGATATATTTTCAGAGGTTACCAAGATGTATAGCAGGCACAAAGTGTGCAGACTTTTTTATTACAAACTGAGGCACCCGGCCCTGGTAATTTAAAGTGGTTCCTATTTTCTCTGAACCCATTCACATGTCAATATCGAGTGGCCTAATCTCCCTTGTCTCGTCACGCAACGTTCTTCCCTTTTGCGTTGCGTGACAAGACAAAAACAACTGTGAGGCTAGGTAGCTGAGCAACATGTAAGAAACAACACCCCTTAAAGCCTGCAAGCATGCTCGTGTCGCGTTGAGTTCTCGCGCCGAACTTTGCTTCGGTCTCAGTGCCGGTCGTGCAAAACTTCAAAAAACCGTTTGAACGTGTCCATGCGTGCCATATCCATATGGAATTTGGAAATGTAGGTATCTAAGGAGAGGGGAATGCCGGAGTACCCGCATAAAAACCTCTCGGAGCAAAGAAAAGGACCAACAACAAACTCAGCCTCCATATGGCCTCGACGCGGGTTTTGAACCCCTGCCACATTGGTGGGAGGCGGGTGCTCTCACCACTACGTCACCCTTGCTCCCCTGAGTAACCATCCTGCAGGCCATGCCCCTCACCTTCCCAGGCAGAAAATTTACGTTAATAATCATAACAGTATCATATGTATTACCGAAGCACAATGGCCTTAGCTCTTATAATATTATTAGCATATTAACTCTTGCATAATCTAAAACAATCTTTGTTACAGACTGAACGGCAAAAAGTCTTTACTTTGCTTCAAAGCTTGGAAAGTGACACATTAAGAGCGGATGTCAGTAAATATCGACCAGAGGTCTGCAAAAGTGAAAAATCGAAAATTCTCAAAAAAATTTACAAAGTAGCACTAGGTAAGCTATTAACAGAAATGTAAATTTTACTTCGATCCGATAATTATTTTCCACGTACGGGGCGGTTATTGGTTTCGCGGCCCTCGGACCGGGTTTTCCAGGACAGGGACCATGTGTCGCAAAAAAATCGTTTTAAAATTCAAATCCATTGTAATGTGGACAACAAATAACTTATTCAGAAGAGTACTTAATTGCACACATTCTAAGTGGTGATTTACTCAGTTTGAACGAAAGTGTAATATTTTGGAGATTTTTCATTATTTTCAATATTTTGAACGTTTTCGTTCAATGAAAAAATGGCAAATTTCAAAGCCCAAAATCGTCGACTGGTACCTCGATTTCAGTAATGAGTCTTATACCACGTTAAAGAGCGTTATCTCTTCTTTCAAAATCTGTTTTCAAAACTACGGGCAACTTAAAAGAAAACGTTTGAGGCCAAAAAATACAAGTAGTACTTTTCTGAAATTTGAGCTTTCCAGACTCAGCGGGTCGATGCTAAAAACTCAGAAAAATGCAATAAGAAATCAGTTTGAGCAACAGCGATTTAACGTTATCAGCTATCAGAAACCAACACGTGTTTATCGAGCGATCTGATAAATTTAAAGCCGTTTTCCAACAAGAAAAGCAGAGTTTAGCCATCTTCTGCTACCAAACGCACGAGTCACGTAGGGTTGTTAAAGGGCAAAGCACAATAATAAACTTAAAAAGGCACAACGTTTCTGCGTCCAGGAATTAGACTTTAGCGGACAGAACAATGCCTACGAGTGTATGTTTCATACCTTAGCTGGGTTTCCTAGATACTGGAAGTAAAAGACATCAAGGACAGCATCGGCAAGAGCATCTTCGGCTGCTCTCAAACGACGGAGATTGCGTTACTTTTCACAGACTGACCGCTTACCACCTGTTTTTGGGCTCGCATTTCGACGGAACGCTTGCCTCGAGAGGCGCGCGGCACGGATCTGAACTCTTCTTCACGAGACAATGAGCTGAATTTATCGGAAATATGCCACCACCAACAACAACATGAGCTTTTTTCGGGTATTTATCGTTTTTTATGCGAAAAGTTCGGGTAAGCAGATTCTCGCGAAAACCATTTGGCTTAAAAAATGTGTTTAAAAGCCCACCCTGGATTTGAAGCAAAAGGTATTTCCTCGAAATAAGCTAAAAATACCCAATTCACGCGGTGAAAAAATGGATGATTATGGAAGGATTATCGAATTCTTGCCTAACCTGAGGGATTTCCCGTGATGTAGGATTAGGGCTAGGAAAAAAGCCCATAACCTGCTCCTGTCGTTGTGAATTTCCTCAAGATCAAAAATTTCAGTAAGAACCGAAAACAACAGCTTAAAGCAGGTGCACACACCTTGAACTAGCCAGGGAAAAGGGGCTTCTGATTGAGCTAAACTGTCATTGATGCACGGTGCAATTAGGTAGACCTGTTACTATCCCCCGCGCAACCACATGGGGAGTACTTTGAAGCGGTCCTGTCGGGGACTTTCGGGGGTAGGGGCGGGGCAAATCGCAAATAACTTCTCTTTGTTTTTGAGAAGTACATCATTTCTCGCACGGTTGACAAGGTGACGGCGGACTCCGTACCTTTGGAAAGGCCCTTTTGAAACATGTCCTGGCAACATGCAGAGCATCACGAAATTAACGTCAACACCTTGAATCAACTCCATAAACAGGGAGAGGCGATAAGTCCCATCTTAAAAGATGCTTGATGTCTAGACGTGAATAGTCTGTCCACAGTCATTTTTCATTTTGTATTTCGGGACCATTTGACAGCGTACGAGTGAACCGGAGCGCAGTAACGATCCCTAACCCCACCCCATTGCCCTTGCGGTCAATAAATCATCGCGTTTTTCATTTTTTTTTATGCGCGTTCGAGAACCTCCAAAGGGAATATTGAGGGTCTTTGTACAGTTTCAGTTTATTTTACCGACAAAAAAGAACATAACAAAGCAAAAGACAAGTACACAGAAACACGCAGAAGCAATGTGGTGAGGAAGCCCAAAAAGAAACCATAAGGCTTAGGTCATCCCCTTTTCGTTCGTTTAGCGTCGAATAGGTTTCCTGGCTTTGGGTGGGTCGGTCGGTGGGGTGAAAAAAAAAATCACAAGAAATCTGAGAACGGGAGGCCTGAAACACCAGCATCATTGCCGTGGAGACTGAAAACAACAAGACATGGTCACCAAATCGACACAAACCCAATATGGCGGAAAATTTGATGGTCAATTTCATAAAAAAAGGCCCAAAAAGGGTAAAGAGCAAAGAGGATACACCACCGAACGTTTTATGCCTCGAAATGATGTTATAATGCTAATTTTTTAGATTAAAAGGATTAATCTAAGTCCAAAAAAAAAAACCTTGTCGTTTAATTCTTTTTCTTGCTTTTTTAAAAAATGCCAAAAAACTGGGTCTTTTGGACGACACTAAACGAAGAAAAACTAAATATAGGTATTAAGCTCCCTTAAAGTATAAAAGTATAAGTTTACAAGGACGGGATCGAACGTATACTGAGTAACTAAATGATAAAAATTTGATCAAAATTAAATGAAAGGCTAAGAGCCTAAGCGCTGTCTGATAACGAAACGGTAAACAAGAAGTGCTGCCTCTCATTTAAAAGAGACGTGAAATACTGGGTGGACCACATCCTGAACTCCCGCTCAGGGCTAAGGAGACTAAACAGGGGCGTAGCTACTTGTACGCACGGTTTGCACGTGCGTAGCCGAAAACGTTGGGGAAAAAAAATAGAATGAAGTAAACATAACTAAAAAAAATCGGTTTCCAGAGAAGCGACGACATTAATTGGAGAACCGAATCTTGCATGATTTATTTATATAGCAAGCTTGATGATGTAAAGCGTGAACGCGTTGTTTTCTCCACGACCTGTCTTCGGAGTAGACGACGTAGGGCACAATTACGTCAATGTGTGGTGCTTTTGTCGGTCAAAAATAATGTGACAAAAAGGGGTAAAAAGAGTCATTTGTAAACTAAAGTCGGAGGTACTACAAGCTTGATTTTTAATAGCTGAATTAATGATAAACGGTTGACGTCAATGAACTTAACAAGCCGACAGAATTAAAGAATTTTAGAGGTTGTGTCATTTCATAAACAGCAAAAATGCTTTTGCTTCCAACCGTTAACCCCACCTTTAATAAAGGCACCTTAAAAAATGTTGAGATTTGGGGTGGGGGGGGGGGGGGAAGAAGATGTAGAAAAAGTTGGGCGTACCTCCTCCTGACTACGCACCTGCTAAAGACCGAAACTGAACAACAGGAGTCTTGACGAAACCTCCTCAGTTATCACCTGTCCGGGGTCGTACTTTCAAGGAAACGCTGATCAAGAATCATTCACGACGGAATAGAAACTCCTCGTAGCTTCCAGCGAAAAAAGGAGTGACAACAGTGGTAAGCGGTCGTTCTGTGAAATGTAACGCAATCTTTGCCGTTTACGATCTTTCGGCGCTTGGATTTGAAACGTTGTTGTTTGGTATGTTCTCCCGTGTGGATACTTGACATTTCCAATATATGGAAACACCATGCTAAGGTACGAACAACAGACATTCACAACATTGTTTTGTACGTTAAAATCTGATTTCATGGACGTAAAACGTTTTGAATTTTAAGACTTTTTAATATTAGTGCTTTGCCCTCCCTTTGACAACTTCACGTGACTGGTGCACTTGGCAGGAGTTGACAGCTCAAATCTGCCTTTCTTGATAGCAAACGGCATTAATTTATATCAGATCGCTGTATAAACACGTCTTGGTTTCTGAAAGCTGATAACATGAAACCACTATTGCTCAAACTGATTTCTTACTGTATTTTTCCAAGTTTTTAGCATCGGCCCGCCGCGTCTGGAAAGCTCAAATTTCAGAAAAGTACTACTTGTATTTTTTGGCCTCAAAAATTTTCTTTTAAGTTGCCCGTAGTTTTGAAAACAGATTTTGAAAGAAGAGATAACGCTCTTTAACGTGGTATAAGACTCGTTACTGAAATCGAGGTACCAGTCGACGATTTTGGGCTTTGAAATTTGCCATTTTTTCATTGAACGAAAACGTTCAAAATATTGAAAATAATGAAAAATCTCCAAAATATTACACTTTCGTTCAAACTGAGTAAATCACCACTTAGAATGTGTGCAATTAAGTACTCTTCGGAATAAGTTATTTGTTGTCCACATTACAGTGGATTTGAATTTTAAAACGATTTTTTTGTGACACATGGTCTCGGGCCTGGAAAACCCGGTCCGAGAGCCGCGAAACCAATAACCCCCCCGTAGGTGGAAAATAATTATCGGATCGAAGTAAAAATTACATTTATGTTAATAGCTTACCTAGTGCTACTTTGTGAATTTTTTTGAGAATTTTCGATTTTTCACTTTTGTAGACCTCTGGTCGATATTTACTGACATCCGCTCTTAATACGCGAGTGTCGAGCGGCGGGGGCGCGTGACTTGCAAAGCGAGAGCGTCAGCCAAGACGACTGACGCCTTCGCTTCTCTCGTCTAGCGATCGACTTGCTGCTCGAAGCTTGTGCCCTACAGATCTGTGAATAAGAAAATAAACCTACTGCTTACAGTCTGTTGTTGTATATATTGGCAAAAATGATACAAACAAGTGCAGAAAATAACATTATCGTTTACATAGATAAACAAATAACGGACTTGGAAGAACAGTTTTGCTGAGAAATATAATGTCTACAGGGAACCAACAAACAACTTTAAGTAAACATCCTAAGTGGACTGTAAGCAGTTTGGTACAAAAAATATGAACCTCTACTCTAGTTTTGCTATTGAACAAGTTGATTGGTACAAAAATGGAGAACGTTGTCTAAAATATATTTATCAATTGAACGCCTGACTATAATTTTTAATTACTGAGCTGGGTTAGGTAGTTAAAAGTTACGAAAAAGGTCACATATTAACGAAACACAGAAACTGCTAAGGATGCAATATATTATACAAGAAACATCAAGGAAGTAAACGACCCTGACTTCATCAATATTTTTTTCAAACACGTGAAACACTAATAAGTTGTTTCTACTAAGACTAGAGCATGCCATACAGTCAAGTCTCTTATATCGACCACTTCTCATGATCATAAGCGACCACTTTGTAAATAACCATTTTGTTTTCAGTCAAACACTCTTTCAAAGACTCTCGTGAGCGACCAAGAGCATGCCATACAGCCAAGTCTCTTATATCGACCACTTCTCATGATCATAAGCGACCACTTTGTAAATAACCATTTTGTTTTCAGTCAAACACTGTTTCAAAGACTCTCGTGAGCGACCACTACTTAAATTTCTTAAGCTACCGCGACCACTTTATAGGCCAGAAATTCGATATATTCTTTTGTTTTCTGTGGGTAAAAAGGGGGATTATTACATTGGTGCAAAATGCTTTTCAACAGTTCCATGGGTTTGGGTTATTAGATGTGAAACTTTATTGTCAGTTGTCTATTTGACTATTTTTAGCTAGTAAGGTAATAACTTCATGTAATTACGTTAATCAGTTCAGTTTGAGCTTATTTTCTTGATTTTTCCAGTGCAAACCCACGTCACGTAAGCGACCCCACTTTGTCGTGCCCCAAGGGTGGTTGCTTACAAGGGAGTTGACTGTATCAAGTCAAATACCTGGATGCGGTTGTTTTCTTTGTCACACACAACTATCTTTCCATCACTAAGATTTGCTGTAGAATTTGGATGCTTCAACTCTCCCCTCTCGCTACCTTCATATCCAAACTTTGTAACAAACTTTCCATTCAGTTCAAATACCTGAATTCTGTGATTGAATGTATCACAAACAGCAAGGAATCCTTCTTTGTTAATTGACAAATAATGGGCCCCATTGAACTCTCCATCCTTGTTCCCCTCCCTTCCAAATTTTGAAATTAACTTTCCCCCAAGATCAAACACTTTGATGGAGTGATCACCATAATCTGGGACTATAAAATATTGACCGTGTTGGATACAGTGATTGGGATTGATCAAAGAACCTACCCCTCCAAATTTGCCTAAATACTGCCCATTAGATGAAAATATTTTGATTAGTTGGTTCACACTATTAGCAACAATAATATCACCATTGCCGTTTACTGATAAACCTTGAGGATAATTAAGTTGATGATCAAGATTTCCACGTTCCCCAAATTTTCTAAGAAAGTTACCATTCCTATCAAGGACTTGCACCCGGTGGTTACTATTGTCTGCAACAACAATATTGCCAAGACTATCAAAAGCGATCCCTGTGGGGTATTGGAACTCACCATTGCCCTTACCTTTCTTGCCAAACGATCTTAAGTGGGTACCGTTACTTCTAAATACAGAAATACGGTGGTTAAAGCAGTCTGTCACGGCAATTTCATCACTATCATTCACTGCCACCCCCCACGGCCCGTTAAGCATTCCAACAGACTTACCTTTTAGTCCAAACGATAGCACAGGTCTGAAGCGCCTGGTTTGTACCTTAGCCTCAAAAGGACTGTCACGATCATTTGCTAAATTATTCCCAGCAATTACTTTATTACTTTCCTTACCTTTAGGTCCTGATTGTTGCGATTTAGTTGTGTTAACAACAGTTTTTACATTACCTATACCTTCACTGTTCAAAACGTTAATCAGTTTTTCAGGTTTATTAAAACTAAACCGAGGAATCTTGATACATTCGGTAGAGTCACGGTTACCTTGGGTGCCCTGTTCCTGTAGGATTGTATCAAATGTTTCATTGAAACCAAGGACATCTGTACTGAAACTTTGTTTCAACAGAGCTTCAGTTCGTGCAATGGCTGAATCAATTGTTCCTAGCTGGTTTTCGACTTCGTCTTTTTTCTGTAAGAGAGATTCCAGTGATTTTTGCGCATGTTCATCTACTGCATCAAAAACATGCTGTTTCCTCTCTTCGATAATTTCAAACATTTGGTCCGCACTCACCGCCACTTGACTTTTTACTTCGGCCATTTGCATTTGCACTTCCATGCTATCTTGGCTGCATTGTTCGATATCCTTTCGTTTTTGCTGTGCTTTTTCTTTTAAGGATTCAATCAAGGAGTTGATATGCGACTTGTGGGCATCAGTGGCTTCTTGTAAGAGCATTTTGCTATGACGTTCATGAAGTGTTACAGCACAAGTGTTGCAAATGGCGACTTGACAATTTTTGCAAAATATCTTGAGCTCTTCTTTCTCATGGTGTTTCTTCTGACAAAATGCTGGTCGGTGTAACACGGCCTCGATGTCTTGTTCTTGAAAATCTTTCAGTGCCAGCGTTTTGTGTTTTTTATTGGTGCGTATTATGTTATGTCCTAAAATACATTCCTCGCACCAGAAAGAACAACACTGAAAGCAATATAAGGTCTGGGCGCTCCGCTTGTCGCAGTTTCCACATTTCACGTTAGATGTAGTACACTCTTTAATTGTCAACACATCTAGCAAGCTGTTGATACGAAAATTAGTGGGAAGCTCGCTGGGATTTCCACTTCCAGGGATTTGGAACTGTCTTCTACACTCAGGGCATGTAATTTTACCTTGAACGCCGCTCGAACGCTGAATATCGTTCAGGCATTGTAGACAATAACTGTGAAAACAAGGCAACTGCTTTGGATCAGTAAATGTGCACATACACACAGAACAGGATACCTCATCATGAAGATTGTCCAGGAAGGTCTTTATATCCATGGCAAAAGATCGCGAACAAACTACGTTTTGAAAATAATAATGAAGGCTTGTATTTGACGATTAAAGTAATGGCAATGCCGCGGAAAAACAATAGCTTTTTTTCCATTTGACCCACACTGAACAACTTTATTACGTCAACATCAAACCAATCAAATAGAGTTCCTTTGCCGGTTATGACGTATCTCCAAATAATTAAAAAATATCCTACATTCAGCAATTAGCTGCCATATTTTGATGTATGCATTTCTGAGAATTAGTTGTTTAGCTCAGAAAGTCATAAACTCTTGAAGTATTTTAGAAAATCAGTTACATGATATTTTACATCACTGATATTCGCCGTTGCTGAATACATGTTTATCTACCTCGGCTCGGTGAATTTGTAGATAGTCGTTAAGAGACGTTGAATTACTTGAATTGACGATCAGTCCATTAAATTAAGGAGGTGCTTCTAATAAAGAAGTGAACAGAAATAATCCTACTGTTTTGATTTTAAAGAAGCCTTCTCGGCTAAGTGTACTAACTTTAATTACTATGTTTTTACCGTATTTCTGAGTTATAAACTCTTTTTGATGCTTCGATGGTTTTTCCGCGTTGGAGTGTATCCGCTCAGATGTAAGAATGTATGAAAAGAGAATGACTCTTTTATGCTTTATCACGTTTATGATGTTTGGCAAAAGTTTTATTTTGAAAAGTGGCAAAAATATCTAAAATTCAGTGAAAGCAAATTCTCTATTTCTGGTCAGACCTGTGACAAGGCGAACGAGGGAGCACACGACTTGACACGTGACACCCGCGCGGAGACTGGAAGAGTGGGAGGAGGTGGTGTGGCCGAGCGGTTAGAGCGCTGGACTTGTAATTCGGAGGCCCCGAGTCGAAGTCCTGTTCTGACCGCTAGCTGGATTTGTTCACTGTGGCCCCGAGTTCAGATCCTAGACCGCGCTTGTAAACAGCCAATCGGTTTGCTTCCGGTCAGTTGGGATCCTTAATCCTATTATGTTTGATTTGAATTATTTCTTTCAGCCATTTGCTCGGCCCCACTAATACAAGTGCTATACTGAAATACTGCCGGGGGTAAATAAAGGAATTATTTCTTATAGATCGTTTTCACTGTCACGCAGCGAAAAATTAAATTGGAAACCCTTTAGTGGAAGAAGACAAGAAAATGAAATGTTATAAAAGACTAATATATAAAGAATTTGTCCAAGTCTCAGGTCTTTGTGGGCCATAGTTTCTGAGTTATTTGCCGAAACGTTTCACCCACCTTTGTAGAGCTTTGTATGGAGACGCCATATTGGTGCCCCGTTTTGGTGCACCAATATGGCCGCCGGAACTCAACAAAAACATCTGGAGTTCACTTTTTCTATAAAAGCTCTTTCTTTTCACTCGAGAATTAGCATACGTACGCATAAACATATCTTCTAATATGTTTAGTGGTTATACTGCTGAAAATCAAGAGGAGAGTCTTTGTCAACGAGACAGCTTTCCTATTTTTTCTGTCACGCATTGTGAAAACTCGGAAGTTCAAATTGCTGTATTTTCGAAATGAAACATGCTACGGGAATGGAAACTTGTTTACAGATTTACTTTTTGTTTATCTTCAACTCAGTGTAAATAAGAATTCGTAAAACCTCGCTACTTTGACTTTACAATTTGATGACGTGACAGTGAAAACCATCTATTTGCTTGGGCACAGGAACTGACTGGGGGAAAACTAAAGTTTGAGAAGAGAAGTCTTATCGAACTCTTCCTCTTTGAAGGGTTAAATCTAACGGAAAAGTTTTTCTATCATTACATGTTTGCCGGAGTAGCCATGCCATTTTTTAATCCTTTCGCTTGCATGAATTAACAGACAGAGAATCCAGCCTATACACATATATTTCCGAGCCTCCCATGCACACGAAACACAAGCTCCCCACAAAACGCCTACGTGGGAGGCTATATTATACCACAACGAAGCCAATGATTTAAACCCTTGAAGGCCTGGAAGTTATCACTATTTTCCTCGGACTTTACAACATTTTCGAAAAACAAAATGTTCCAGCTTTTCTTATGACAAAGCGCGTCGGTCTGTTATTTCGAAAAGCGGACCAAGGCATTTTATTATAGACTGCGATTATTCTCTTCCCTTTTGTTTCAGTCTTAAACCCATTCACACCTAACCGGCGATTAGGCTTTTTTTCGGGGAAAGGGGGAAAAGGAACGGCGCGGGTCCTTTTCCCCTCGCCTCCAAACCAATATAGGAAGAAGCACCGTCTGCTCGTAGGTTAATTCACACCTCAACCACTCCACACTTTGCAACATTAGCATTGAACAACGCCCCTTAAAACCCGCTCCAGAAGATTCTTCGTTTTAAGATTTTGTACCAGATTTCCCTTTAGCCTGCAGCGCAGGCGTATTTTGGGTGGGCGAAAGCTTGTTTATCGGATCGCTACGATGAAGCCGCAATCTTTGATTTTATGTAAGAGGAAGATTGGGGAGAGTAGAAATAGTAACCCTTACGGTAGGTGTGAGGGTGAAAAAAGAAGAGGGGGGAGGGGGAGGGGAGAAAAAAAATTCGCGCGCGCCCGATGAAAACGCCTGCACTGCAGGCTTATTTCCCTTTGACTTTTTAACCGGGGATTAATACCCCAAAGATTAATATTTTGATCTTTGCCGATTGCGCAAAAATCTCGAAGCTATGTAGCCTGCGGTGCATCGGGCGCGGGCGAAAGGTTTTAATCGCGAAAGCGCCATGTTGAAACTCCCGAAGAGAGGAGGAAATGGGGCGAGTCAAGGGGAGGGGGGAGGGGGCGGGGAGAAAGAAGAGAAAACGCCTGCCCGAAAACACTGTGAAAATGATAAACACCCCCCAATTAGTCGCGCTTTTCTCCCCTCCCCCTCCCCCCTTATCTTTTTTCGCCCTCACACCTACCGTAAGGGTTACTATTTCTACTCTCCCCAATCTTTCTCTGACATAAAATCAAAGATGGCGGCTTCATCGTAGCGATCCGATAAACAAGCTTTCGCCCACCCAAAATACTCCTGCACTGCAGGCTAGAAGTTATGCCGTTAGCTCCCTTACTAGAGAAGCTGCTGGCAGGCCACGCCCCCTGTAGGATTATCGTATTTCGGAAATGTTACAACTTGTAACATTTCTCGGAGAACTTGAAGAATCAACGTGATTCGGTTAAAAAGGGCTTAGATACACGCCAGACTGGTCACGTAATTTTGACAGGGAATTTTTGAATGAAAATTTTATCGTCCTATCTAGCTGTACTTTCTTTACAACGATTTTTTTGTTTTTGTTTTTGCAAAATCTGTAAGGGCAAGTAAGGGTAAAAATTTATCAGTGACACAAACCAAGCAAATTTTAAAATGCGATTTGAAGTTTATTACAAATTTACATTTATTACATCATTACGCTTAGATTTTCACATTTATAGCATGATAGCCATCACACCACGATTAATACAAAGTATTTTTCTAATAGTTCTTATATCATTTGACAATGGCTGTGGTGGCGAATAATTTTCACATTAACTTGAAACATTCAGTATCTACACTTTTTAAAAATCTACTGTCATGTATTAAATTGCCAGCAGTTTATTACTTTTCTTCAAAAGTTAAGGAGATGGCGCATATGGTACAAGAGCGTCAGCCAAGAAGCGTGACATCGGTCGAGAAAACTCACTGATCTCGCTCGATTCTCTCGTCTCACGACTTGCAACTCGCCTCTTGTATCTTACCTTGATCCTACGGATTCTCTGAAGAAAATTAAGCGATTGTTCGCGGTCTACTGTTCTACATATTGGCACACATTATACAAGAAACTACAAAAACAAATACAGAACACTGGTCCATTGTTTAATAAGTAGGTGAAAAAATGATACACACTAAAACGCATCGGAGAAACTTTGAGCTCTTTTGAAAGTATCAAGTCTTCATTTAATATTACTAGAAAAGTAAGTAAAAAGTCTGAAACTGGTCTACTTCTGTCTGAGCAGTTTAGTACAAAAATGTAAACCACGGGCTGGTTTTGCTATAGAACAAGTTAAAATGTATTAAAAATGAAAATCCTCCTGTTAAATATATCTACCAATTGAACACTCCTGCGACCCGTTTCTTGAAAGGCCCGGTAACTTTTTGGGTCCAAAAAAATTTTGAAATCTAAACCTGTTGAATTTATAGCAGTACAGTTCAGTCCGAGTTCACAAACCCGTCAATTTTGCTTTGTTAACTGATACTTTCATTGTATCATCTTCAAAGTTATTGCCACATTGAACAAATGCAAACGCAGCAAGCATTAAACAGCTTTTAAGGCCCGAAACATTCTCGGGACTTTTCGAAAAACAGGCCAATGACTCGCAATTTCCCTGAGTTAAGTTTGTACATAATAATATGAGTAAGGTCAGCTAAGAGAAATCAGCAACAACAAGAGATGTATCCTGCAGTATAAAAACCTGCCCGAAGCTGAACCTGCATTATCCCAAGTTATTCTAAACAGGTTCTTACATAAATGGTAATTACTTAAAGTGTGATCTACTTTTGATCTACAAGTACTCATGTTTCCAGAAGAAAAACATTTTCGACGTAGTTTAGTTTCTTGAACTTTCATGCATACATTAAAACAATAAAACCCTCGACTAAGAACCTGGTTTTTAAGAACGTGTAAGGTAAGCTTAAAATTTGAAACAGGTTCTTTAGTTAAAATCTACAAACATAAATTTTGAATACAGTTGGACAATATTCAGGATCCTCTTTGGAGACATTGTGTGCTTTATTAATCCAAATGGCAGTTTGTAATGGCATTTACAGTCTTACCTAGCCAACAAGCTGAATATACCACTTAATACTCTTAGCTACAAGGGATGTTTTTCTTTTAGAAAATAACATCCCATTTAAGAACCTAGTAAAATAGTCTAAATTTGTGCTAATTGCATTTCTATCGATAAGATCATATCATATTTGGTCAAATATCTGGATTCGATCGTTTTTCACATCACTCACAACTACCCTTCCATCACTAAGATTTGCTGTAGAAACTGGATAATTAAACGCTCCTCTCTCGCTACCTTCACTTCCAAATTTTGTAACAAACTTTCCACTCAGTTCAAATACCTGAACTCTGTAATTTTCTGAATCACAGACCATTAGCAATCCTTCTTTGTCAACTGACAAATAACGGGGCTTGTTGAACTCTCCATCCTTGTTCCCCTGTTTTCCAAATTTAGAAATTAACTTTCCTTCAAGATCAAATATTTTGATAGAATGATCACCATAGTCTGAGACTATAAAATATTGACCGTGTTGGATACAGTGATAGGGAGTGTCCAAAGCACCTGCTTCACCAAATTTACGTAAACAGTCCCCACTAGAAGAGAATATCTTGATTAATTTGTTACCATAATCAGCAACAATAATATCACCGTTGGCATTTATTGATAAACCTTCAGGGTTTTTAAGCTGGTGATCAAGTTGAGTTCCGTGTTTGCCAAACTTACGAAGAAACTTTCCATTTCTATCAAAGACTTGCACCCTGTCGTTTTCACAGTCTGCCACTACAATATTACCAAAACTATCAAAAGCGATCCCTGAAGGTTGATTAAACTCGCCATTATTCTTACCCTCCCTACCAAACGATCTTAAGTTGGTACCGTCACTACTAAACACTGAAACTCTTTCGTTATTGAGCTCAGTCACAGCAATTTCATCATGATCATTCACTGCCACCCCCCAGGGTGAGGTTAAAATTCCAATAGACTCACCTTTTTGTCCAAATGATAGCACAGGAATATAACGCTTGGTCTGTACCTGAGCCTCAAGAGGACTGTCACGAACATTTGTCCTTTTATTCCCGGCAATTGCTTCACTGCTTGCCCTGCGTTTAACCCCTGATTGTTGCAATTTAGTTGGGCTAAAAACAATTTTTACATTACCTATACCTTCACTGTTCAACACGTTAATCAGTTTTTCACTTTTAGTGAAACTAAATCGAGGAATACACTCTGTGTCACGGTTTTCGTGGGTTCCCTGTTCGCGTGTAGGATTTTATCAAATGTTTCATTGAATCCAAGGATTTCTGTACTAAAGTTTCGTTTCATCAGAGATTCCGTTTGTCCAATTGCTGACTCAATCATTTTCACTTGATTTTCAACTTCGCCTTTTTTCTGTGAGAGTGTTTCAAGTGATTTTTTCGCTTGATTATCAACCGCTTCAAAAACATCCTGTTTCCTCGCTTCGATGATTGCAATCATTTTGTGCACATTCGTCTGCACTTGGCCTTTTACGTCGGCTACTTGCGCTTGAACTTCCATGCTCTTTTGGTTGAATTGTTCGACCTTCTTTCTTTTTTCCACCATTTTATCTTTCAAGGAAGTAATCACGGAGTTGATCTGTATCTTGCGCGCATCTGTAGCTTCTTGCAAGGGCATTTTACCATGACCTTCATGAAGCGTTACAGCACAAGTGTTGCAAATGGCGACTTTACAGCTCTTGCAAAAGAATTTCAGTTCTTCTTTTTCATGGTGTTTCTTCTGGCAAAATGCTGGTCGCTTTAACACAGCCTCGAAGTCTTGATCCTGAAAATGCTTCAGTACAAGAGTTCTGTGTTCTTTATTGGTGCGTATTATGTTGTGTCCTAAAATACATTCCTCGCACCAGAAAGAACAACACTGGAAACAATACAAGGTCTGGGCGCTGCGCTTGTCGCAATTTCCGCATTTTACGTTAGCTGTGCTGCACTCTTTAATTGCCAAGACATCTAGCAAACTGTTGATACGAAAATTGGTGGGAAGTTCGCTGGGATTTCCGTTTCCAGGTATTTGAAACTGTCTTCTGCACTCGGGGCATGTAATTTTGCCATGGAGGCCGCTCGTTCGTTGAATTCCGTTCAGGCAGTGAAGACAGAAACTGTGCAAACAAGGCAACTGCTTTGGATCAGTGAATGTACACATACACACAGAACAGGATACTTTATCATGACGATTGTGCAGCAAGGTCTGTATATCCATGGAAAAGGTCGGGAGTGTGTTTGAAATACTCTATAAAGCTTGTTGTTGGCCGTGCGGGGTGTTTTGAATCGGATTTTCAAAGAACCCATCTCACGTAATGCCTTACCAATCAAACAGAGTCCCTTGCATTGTTTGACATTTTGATGTAATATCCTGGTTTTCTTAGAACTGTTGTTCTGCTCTACAAAGCATGAACTTTTGGCTGTCGCAATTTTTTTCGTCAGCTAAATATTAAGACTACATCACTTTGGAGCAGTCAAAGACCCGCACGCGACATTCATTCTGAAGTATAAAACAGGTAATGAGACCAGATTATCCTTTCTAGATGTGAAGCCTCTCCTCCGTTCAATGTCTTCACGGCATGTATTTGAAAAATTATCACGTTGCTAGGAACTACCATTCCAGTGTACCAGTACATTCACGCATGTCAGTGGCTTTTTGGCTGGGGAGGTGACAACGGCGCACACGAAGAGGGAGCAAAAACATCATTTTCTTTCTATTTTCACTGCCACGCCATCAAAATAAAAATGCAAACCATTCAATACAGGAAGTCCAGAATCTAGGAAATGAAAGAAGATAAATATACAAAAAACCTCGCTAAGAATCAGATCTGTGCTATATTTCATATGCGAGGTACTGATATGCGAGAAATTCGGAAAAACGTTTTACCCAAATTAATAAAGCATTGTATGGAGACGTTATGTTGACGTCCCTGTTAAAATTCATTTCGATTTAAAAAAAATTCATTTCAATAAAAAAAAGACTCATTTTGATTAAAAACAATTCATTTCGATTGAAAATGAAGTAAAATGTCCCTTTCAGGGGCACCAATATGGCCGCCGGAAAACAACACAAACAGCTGTTTTTTAATTTTCCTACTAATGCGTGAATTCATCGTTTGAGGAACTCATAAAGATTAAAGTAATATTTATTCTGAGACAAGGAATGTTGATATAGTAAACTCTCTTAAACTAGGTAACGTTTTTAACCAACATAGGAGCTTTCCGCCCGGGGGGGGGGGGGGTACTTTAGCAATTTCGGGGTGGGGATGTGCCGCTGTGACCCTGGAACCCTTAATCCATATTCATCTGCAGTCAGTTGTTTTAGCTCTCACTTTCAGAGTCCGTAACAAAGTGTATCAACGCGAGTTTGCGAGAAGGGGAGGGGGGAGGAGGGTGGGGCAAACTGATATACAGAGGGGCACACAAAAAAAAGGATTAGGGAGCTAAAGCAACGACGACGGCGACGTCAACGAGAACGGCAAAAAGGAGTTAAAGGTTTAGATCGACAAAACAACAACTCTGCACGTGCATCACGTACATTTCTTTACCGTCACTGCACGACTACGACGTGAAAATGCCTAATTTCACATTTTGTGGAGAATGTGAACACAAGACAATGACTTTTTTTTCTTTTCGTGATCATCTTTAATACAGTCTTTTAGAATTCAACTCCAGAAAAACCTGCCAACATTTGACAAACTGAAAGAGATAGAATAAGCGCCATAAGGTTTGAAGCAGCGCCACTTCACTTTTATAGTGACGTTTTTTCAGTCGTCGCCTCGTTGTTGCTTAAGCTTGCTATTGACGGACGAACGGATGGATGAAGACCCAATCAGTTTGTGAAAGGCTGGTAACACTTAATAGCACATGCGCAAAAGACTGACTAACCTGAGGCCGCGCGAGCCGTGCGCTCATTTTACCATGCACCCTCCTCCATCAGGTGCTTCTTTTTCAGACGGGTATTAAAAGCTACTTTAACTCCACGGAAAGGAAAGAAGCCGACAAAAGTATCGAGTAGGTCACACCTGGCAATCGAACAGACTGCACTCCTGACCCACTGTGTTAATTCTTGGTCCTAGTCAGAGAGAGAGATAGGCAGATAGACAGACAGGCAGACGGGACAGGCTAGCCTGTGAAAACAGCCGTTTCTCTTCGTTCCTCGCCGCTCAGGACGTTTTGCCAGGAGGAACGTCTGCGTCTCAGTGATATAATTTCCATACTGATGACGTAAATCAATGTTTAGATAATTAACCTGGTAGACTTGGGGTTTAAAATGCAAATTTGTTTGATTTTATGTTTCCTGGTCGATTTTGGTAAAGTTTTGTGTTTATTTGCGAACGAGCTCCAGCAGAACTCATCCCACAAAAGCTTATTCTAGAGAAGAACATAATTAACAGATAGAACATCCATCCTTGAAGATCTTGAAGACATCATTTTATTCCTCGGACTTTACTACATATCCACAAAACATTTTCCAGCTTTTTTTTATAACAAAGCGCGACGGTCTGTTATTTCGAAGTACGGGCCGAGGTATTCTAGTATAGACTGCGATCAACTCTTCGTTTTAAGATTTTGTACCGGATTTCCCTTTGGCTTTTTAACCGGGGATTAACACACAAAGGATTAATATTTTGGTCTTTGCCGATTGTGCAAAACTCTCGAGGTTATACCGTTGACTCCCCTACTAGAAAAGCTGCTGGCAGGCCACTCCCCTTGTAGCATTAACTCAATTGAAATGTTAGAAGAGAACTTGAAGAATCAACGTGATTCGGTTAAAAAGGGCAGAGATACACGCCAAACTGGTCACTTAATTTTTACAGGGAATTTTTGAGTGAAATTTTATCGCCCTATCTAGCTGTACTTTCTTTTAAGAAAGTACAAGGAATTTTTTTTATTGTTTTTGCAAAATCTCTGAAATGCGTAAGGGCAAGTAAGACACTAGGGTAAAAATTTATCCGTGAGACAAACCAAGCTAATTTTAATATGCGAATGGAAGTTTATTACAAATTGACATGTATTACATCATTACGCTTATATTTTCACATTTATAGCATAATAGCCATCGCACTACGATTAATACAAAGTATTAATGTTATTAGTAAAATCCAACTAGTGGTCTATTATCAATGCTGCGTTCTAATTGGTTGAGCTTACTACTAGGCTATATGTTCTAGCCCCCTAGTAGCGAAACCCGCGGGCTTTTTGGCGGCAAAAAAGGCGTAAAGTCTAGCTTTTAACTAGCTAAAAAATTTTTATTCCCGATATTTTTGACCAACTAGCTGGATTTTACTAAAACAATAATTCCTCTCGCCCTCATGGCCTCTGAGTCAATAGCCCATTAGGCCTTCGGCCTCATGGGCTATTGACTCACAGCCCATTCGGAATCGAGGAATAATTGTTAAATAGGTCTTATATCATTTGACAATGGCTGTGGTGGCTTATAATTTTCACACTTAAACTCGAAACATTTAGAATCTACAATTCTTAAAAAACTTTTGCCATGTAATAAATTGCCAGCAGTTTCTAACTTTCCTTCAAAAGTTAAGGAGATGGCACAGGTAGCACAAGAGCGTCAGGCAAGAAGCGAAAACATCGGCCGAGAAGACTGATCTCACTCGATTCTCGTCGAGGAGTATCAAGTACCATTTAATAGTACTAGAAAAGTAAGTATCAAAAGCCTGAAACTGGACAACTTCTGTGTCAGCAGTTTAGTACAAAAATGTGAACCACAGGTTGGTTTTGCTATTGAGAAAGTTAAAATGTATTAAAAATGGAAAACCCTCCTGTAACATATATCTGCCCCTCTTGCGGCCCGTTTCTCGAAAGGCCCGGTAACTTTTTGGGTCCGAAAAAAATTTCTCAATCAAAACCTGTTGAATTCATAGCAGCACAGTTCACTCCGAGCTCACAAACCGGTCAATTTTACTTCTGATTTTGCTTTATTAACTGATACTTTAATTGTATTATTAGGTTTAATTACGCGCGCTTTTCGGGCAAAAAGACAACTTCACTATATATTTCTCGGCAAAAAGGCGATCATTATTACATCCAAACACGGCACAACGATCTTTTTTTTCCCATTACCATCTTTTTCTAGGCAAACTTAAAAAAAAAGTGGTTCGAAAAGCGTGCGTAAATACTGAACGAGTATATCGGATAGTGCTCATGCCCCAAAGAACCTGTTTCAAATTTTAGGCTTAAACAATTTCTAATATAGAGGTGGCCTAACTCTCAAAGGTCTAAAACCAGGTTCTTAGTAGCTTTTTTTTTTTAGATTATGTAAGAAAGATCAAGAAACTAAACTACGTCAAAAATACTTTTTTTTTCGAGAACATAATAATTCTAGATCAATAGTAGATCACACTTTTAAGTAATTGCATTTCTAAGGACAAGATCATATCATATTTGGTCAAATATCTGGATTCGCTGGTTATCCTTATCACTCACAACTATTCTCCCATCACTAAGACTTGCTGTAGAAACTGGATAATTAAACTCTCCTATCCCACTACCTTTACTTCCAAATTTTGTAACAAACTTTCCGCGCAGTTCAAATACCTGAACTCTGTGATTGATACAATCACAGACCATTAGCAATCCTTGTTTGTTAACTGACAAATAACGAGGCCCATAGAACTCTCCATCCTTCTCCCCCTGTTTTCCAAATTTAGAAATAAAATTTCCTTGAAGATCAAACATCTTAATGAAATCATCACCATAGTCTGTGACTATAAGATATTGTCCGTGTTGGATACAGTGATATGGATTGACCAAAGAACCTGCTCCACCAAATTTACGTAAATACTTGCCAGTGGAAGAGAATATCTTGATTAATTTGTTACCTTTATCAGCAACAATAATGTCACCGTTGACGTTTATTGATAATCCTTCAGAATTTTTAAGCTGGTGATCAAGAATTCTATTTTGGCCAAACGTACGAAGAAACTTACCATTTCTATTAAAGACTTGTACCCTGTGGTTATTATTGTCTACCACTACAATGTTGCCGAGACTATCAAAAGCGATCCCAGAAGGTTCATCAAACTCACCATTATTCTGGCCCTTCTTACCAAACGATCTTAAGTGGGTGCCGTCACTACTGAAGACTGAAACCCTGTTGTTACCGAGCTCAGTCACAGCAATTTCATCACGATCGTTCACTGCCACCCCCCATGGATAGTTAAGCATTCCAACAGACTTACCTTTTTGTCCAAATGATAGCACAGGAATGTAACGCTTGGTTTGTACCTGAGCCTCAAAAGGACTGTCACGATCATTTGCCCCTTTATTCCCATCAATTACTTTATTACTTTCTTTTCCTTTGGTTCCTGATTGTTGCGATTTAGTTTCGCTAAAAACAGTTTTTACATTACCTATACCTTCACTGTTTAACACGTTAATCAGTCTTTCACTTTTAGTGAAACTAAACCGTGGAGTATATTCAGTGTCACGGTTTTCTTGGGTGCCCCGTTCCTGTAGGATTTTATCAAATGTTTCCTTGAATCCAAGGATTTCTGTGCTAAAGTTTCGTTTCATCAGAGATTCAGTTTGTTCAATTGCTGATTCAATTATTGTCACTTGATTTTCAACTTTGTCTTTTTTCTGTGAGAGTGTTTCAAGTGATTTGTTCGCTTGATCATCGACTGCATCAAAAACATCCTGTTTCCTCGCTTCGATGAGTGCAATCGTTTGGTCTACATTCGTCTGCACTTGGCTTTTTACTTCGGCTACTTTCGCTTGAACTTCCATGCTCTTTTGGTTGAATTGTTCGAACTCCTTTCGTTTTTCCAGTACTTTATCTTTTAAAGATTTAATCATGGAATTTATCTTTGTCTTACGCGCATTTGTAGCTTCTTGCAAGAGCATTTTGCGGTGACCCTCATGAAGTGTCATTGCACAAGTGTTGCAAATGGACACTTCACAGTTCTTACAAAAGAACTTCAGCTCCTCTTTTTCATGAAGTTCCTTCTGGCAAAATGCTGGTCGCCTTAACACGGCCTCCATGTCTTGATCTTGAAAATCTTTCAGAGCCAGCGTTTTGTGTTCTTTGTTGGTGCGTATCACGTTATGTGCTAAAATACATTCCTCGCACCAGAAAGAACAACACTGGAAGCAATATAAGGTCTGCGCGCTCCTTTTCTCGCAGTTTCCGCATTTCACGTTAGCTGTACTGCACTCTTTAATTGCCAAGACATCGACCAAACTATTGATACGAAAATTGGTTGGAAGCTCGCTGGGATCTCCACTTCCAGGGATTTCAAACTGTTTCCTGCACTCGGGGCATGTTATTTTGCCATGGACGCCGCTCGTTCGTTGAATTCCGTTTAGGCATTGAAGACAGAAACTGTGCAAACAAGGCAACTTCTTTGGATCAGTGTATGCACACATACACACAGAACAGGATACCTCATCATGAAGATTGTCCAGCAAGGTCTTTAGATCCATGGAAAAGGTCGAGAACAATGGTTATTAAAAGTTAGAAATATGAAAATACTGCAAGTTTGTTTTTAGTGATTTAATAAGGAGCGGCGTTTTGAAAGAACCCAACCTATTTACAACCTTCTGACGCAGATTAAACATTTCAACCAATCAAACAGCGTCTCTTGCATTTTTTGACATTTTGACGTAACATCCTGTTTTTCTTAGAACTGTTGATCCACGCTACGAAGCATCAACTAGTTGACATTTGCCTTTTTTTTGATTACGTTAAATCGACAGATCACTTCGCAGCGGTCAAAAAGGGTGTAGAAAAAACGTGGACCCTCCCTTCTGGACCCCCTTTTGGACCCCTCTTTTTTTAATAAAAAAAACTAAATAATAATAAAAAATAAATAAATATATTAAAAAACTCAAGCAAACAAATAATAAAGTTCCCTACCATCACTCCGTCTTGCACATTTTACCATGAAGCTCGAAAGGTGACCGGATAAAGTGCTTCCAAGATACAAATAAAATTTCTATGCTTGTACTATGAAGGCTGACAAACGAATATATTGCCAGTATCCGCAAAACTTTGCGTGCTGCTAAACAAGACGACTGCTAGCGCCTACTACGGCAACTATACGTGAACAACAAACACCCGCCATTTTCTTCCGCCACTCACGACATTCGCTGAAGTACAATACCGCCTAGCAAACCGAAGTTATCCTTTCTAGATGCAGGGGCAGATCTAGGGGGAGGGTGCAGGGAGTGCGCTCCCCCCCTCGAGATGACCTGCTGCTTTCTAATACAACTGGTATTTGTTTACGTCACCAGTCACCTAAGAAAAGTCCTGGACGCCTGGATCCGCCCCTGCGATGTGAAGTCTTTCCTTTCGATCTTCTTTGTTCTGGGTGTCTTGTTTTTAAAATGTCACTTGTATTAAAGGGAACCTCCACTTCAACAAAAAGATAACTTTAAATCACAGGAAATAACTGTTACAGTCAAGTCAATCTAAAATATTTTTAAAGAAAGCGTTTGTATCCGAAAGAAATAACTTTTAGATTCGCCTATTTTTGTTTTCAAATTTTGCGGGCGTCGCCATCTTGAATAATTGTGACGTGTTATGGTTGCCCTATTGTTATTAAACAAAAGCTCTTTGTGTCAGAACAATAGAGCAACCGTAACACGTCACAATTATTCAAGATGGCGGCGCCCGCGAAATTTGAAAGTGAAAATAAGCGATTTTAAAATGCACTTTTACTGATATAAACACTTTTTTTAAGGACAAATTTCGAACAAATTTGTTTATCAACATAATTTTATTCGATTTAAACTTATTCTGTAGTAAGAGTGGAGGTTCCCTTTAAACACTGTCACTTTGTTAATAGGAGATGATACCATATATAGGCCATGCCACTTCAGTATACTGTGTCACCAGGAGTTATGGGCTGCCTGTACTACCATGCCTACCAGTCTACTACCATACATGTCTGAGTGTTTTTTTGAATTTTTGAGAAGGGGCTGGGAAGAGGGAACACACACGACGAATTTGGAGCCGGAAATTCATTTTTAAGGTTTATTGGAGATTGTATTCATTATCTGTCTTTTCATTGGCTAAGGACCTTACAATTGATTTTGGAAAACAGCGCAACCTACAGGACTGATTTGCCAGTTTTCTGCAAGCAGATAATTGATTAATCTGTAGCCGATTGAAAGCGCACTTTTGATTTCTGAGGGCAATGTCAAACTGGCTGTGTGTTCCGTGTGATGGTAAAAATGTACAAGAAAACAATTACTAGATATCACAAAAGCTTCATCCAATAATTGTTCAGGTATATTTTACCATTTCTCGAGCCGAAATATGTCAATCCGGAAATAGATATTTCAGTGAGCCCAGTGGAGGCGTTTGTGGCGGAGGGGCTAACACCTCAAACTACGGGACTCAAGCCTCTCCCGTCACGTTGTTTCCTTGGACAAGGAACTTTTCTCTACTTTTTCTCTCTTCACTCAGGTGTATAAACGGCCCGGTACCAGCGTCATCTAGTGCTAGGGGGAACCCTGCGATGGACTAGCATCGTATCCCGTCCGGGGGGGGGGGAGTGAGTAGCAATACTCCTAGGCACGCTTTATGCTAAGGAAACCAGGATAAGCTCCGTCCGTTTGGGCTTTTGGCTCTTGTGAACCTTTACCTAGCTACCAGAAACATTTAAGCAGCCTCGTTCCCAGGGCTCTCTCTTCTATTTTCTATGGTAAAAGCCCTGGGGACGAGGCTGACTGTTGAGAAACCTGTTAAATAATCCTCTTGACGTATACCGGGTAGCATAAAAGCTACTTTAAGCTCCATGAAAAAGAAAGAAGCCGAAAAAAAATGATCAAGGACACACCTGGGAGTACACCCCGGGTTAACCGACTGTGTTAATCCGTGTTCCTAGTCAGAGAGATAGATAGGCAGACAGACAAACAGACAGACAGACAGACAAGCAGGCAGGCAGGCAGACGGGACAGGCTGACAGACGAACACCAGCCACATGAGAGACCTTTTTAATGAACGATACTTTGCTGTCAGGAAGGTTTTAAAAACAACCTTCTTTAAATCATTCCTTGATATGTTTAAGGAAATGTACAAACCGTTACGCACTGGAATAAAAAATATGAAGTTAAAAAGGTTAAACACCTTGTTTTCTATAGACAACTTTCCGTCGGTCAGTTCTGTTGGCCCTAAAGAAGGGAAACTCAGTACAATCTCTAATTCCACTAAATGATAGACAGAGAGGCTGCTCAATTCCCGGGGGGGACTGCCATACAAATGGACCGGGATGCTCGACGGAAAATTAAAATCAAACCCCTAAGGGAGACCAATGTGGGTGGGGCTCAAGCTTAAACTGACAAGGAGACCATAATAAAACAGTCGTCTGGGCAATTTTTGTAAATTTCTTTATGCACAGCCCTAAGCGATACCTGAATAGGCAAATAATTATATTGATTTTGCGTCTCAAACACCATTAGTGAGACCATAATTTGCAATTTACACCCCTAAGCGAGACGACGAGCATGCTCGTCACTTTTACAAGGGAGTCCCGCCGGGGCGCAATTACAGAATTTTATTCTATATCTCCTCTACTAGGGCGTGTTCGATTGACTTCATTCCGGAATATGAATAAATGGAATAAACCCTGTTTTGGCATTCATTGCTTTGCAATATCTAAAAATCTGCTTGAAATAAAATATCCCGATGTATGTAGCATTTGAGGTGGCCCTAACCTATCTATATGCGCATTGGTATACGTTTTGGAATCGGGGTTTTCGACAGAAACAGTGTAAGCGATTTCTACGATTTCTGGCATCTTTAATGAAAAGTGGTGGAACTTTAACAAAACGTTATTAAATATTTTCTTGCGTTCCCCATGTGGTGACGCACGCCTAAGAATGTCTGCTTGGGAGGCTATGTCGCTATCTTTCAACGGTAACGCGTAGTTCAAGCCAAGGTTCTGTCGATGGCTTCGGACTGGAAAGGTTGCAGAGATTTGCGACCTTTGATTCGCTCTCGATGCAAAGGCGTCTCGAAGCAAGATAACGAATGGAAAGGAAAACTATCGTGCGTCACCTAGGCGGAATTTGGAGGCGATTGGAGCAGTTGGAGCGAATTTACGGCCGTTTTCCTTCGGTGGATCAGTCGGGTCGCTTCGCTGGAGTGTCCAACCTTGGTAAACCTTTATATAGAGAGAAAACCGTTTACGTAAAAACCCATAAAACGGCCATAAATTTGCCCGTGGACCACACAGGAGAGACGTAACACACATTTTATGTAAGGTAAGCTGTTTTTTATTGAAATCCTTTCATTTTCGTAGGTTACAGAAACGATAGGTTTTTTTCCCATACAAATCCTTATATTTCGAATGTTACCCAACAATGCCTATGTTCGCAGATGCTCATATTTCGAGCTTGGGCCACCTGTGGAGAGATAGATAGGCAGACTGACAAACAGACAGACAGATGAACACCAGCCATGCGAGAGACCATTTTAATGAACGATACCTTGCTGTCAGGAACGTAAAAACAACCTTCTTTAAATCATTCCTTGCTATTTTTAAGGAAATGTACAAAAAGTTACACACTGGAATGAAAGAAATGAAGTTCTACCGTTAAACACCTTGTCTTCTATAGACAACTTTCCGTCGGTCACTTCTGTTGGCCCTAAAGAAGGGAAACTCAGTACAATCTCTAATTCTACTAAATGATAGACAGAGAGGCCGATCATGACAATACTCAATTCCCGGGGGAACTCCCATACAAATGGACTGGGATGCTTGTCTGAAAATTAAAATCAAACCCCTAAGGGAGACCAATGTGGGTGGGGCTCAAGCTTAAACTGACCCCTAAAGGAGACCATGGTAAAACAGGCGTCACGGCATACCTAGGCGATACCTGAATAGGCAAATAATTATGGTAACTTTGCGTCCCAAACACCCTAAGTGAGACCAAAATTTGCAATTTACACCTTTATATGCGTGTTGGTTACGTTTTTGAATCGCGTTTTTCGACAGAAACGATTTAACCGATTTCTATGATTTTTGGTATCCTTAATAAAAAATGGTGTAACTTTAACAAAACGTTATCAAATATTTCTTGTAGGTATAAAAACGTTTGAGATATCGGCATATGTTTAAAACCTCATTTTTTACAAAAAGTGTCAATAACTTCGAAACCCTACGACAGATTTTTCTCTAACTTCAGCAAATAAGTCTCTTGGCTCTCTTTTCTTATATCTGCAAGTTTGAAGTCAATCGTGACAGTAATAGTCGCTGCAAAAAAAGCTGGTCCAATTTAACCTTAAAATGCAACGCTAACACATTTGTGAAAGTTGACGCACAAATAGGGGAAGAGGGCCGAGCGAACGGACTATCTCCTATCTGCAAGGATTATTCTTGCCCAAAGCTTTACTGCAAGAAACTGAGTGATCAGAAACCGACGGCAAAAACAGTTCTTAATACAAGAAGAACAACTTTAATTATGCTAAATGCGGG